TTAGCACCCACCTCGAATAAGCGCCCATCCCAAAGGCAGAAAAAGTTAATAAGCGCCCAGCCTCGAATAAGCGCCCACCCCACCCCACTCCCTCCCACACAAACTCAAATAAGACATAATAAGAGACCCTCCCGAAGACGGAGTTTTCTTCAAAGTATTTTACAGATTGGGCTGAAACCTTGCTTTGTTACTTCTTCGCTTTTTGTTATTACCATTTATTATTTTGTAGCAAAATAAACATACTACACTTGCTGAGAATGGCGAAAATTTAATAAGCGCCCAGCCTCGAATAAGCGCCCACTATCAAGGCCCAAAAATTTAATAAGCGCCCAGGGCGGTTAATTGAATAAATACGGTAATTAAACTTTTGTTCCCAAGATACACTGTAAGTGATGGCAATATTGCAGAAGAAGCAGGTTCATGAAGTTTTAAGTAATATGTCAATAATGTTGTTATGATAGTGATGTAGTGGGACACTCACTATAAAATTAATACAATAATTTACCTGGAGTCAATTGTCTTGCTACGAAAGGGTTTCTCGCATTCATTTTTTCGTTTTGTTTTTGCTCAAAGAAGGTCTTAGTTTTAACAGGTACAGTGTAATCAGGATTATGATGACCGCTTGGAGTTAGATTTGAGACATGAAAGTTACGAGCCAGCAATTTGTTTAAACTAGTTAATTTTGATATCAGTTAACTCAGGAAATAAGTAAGTTTAGTCACCTAGTGTGACTGAGCCAGTAATAATACATGTAATATCTAATAGCAACCTTTTTTGCTATAAAAGGCTAGAATATTTAGACAGAAAAGGACAATAGTATTTTTCATGACAAGCATCTACAGCTTTAGTTTCAATATTAATGGTCTCAATTATGTATAATTTCTGTTTGTTGCAGAAAAAGCTGAAGAGACAACCCTTTTCCAGTCAACCTCTATTTCAAGAAGGATTGTTGTAAGTTCAAAGCTTGTATAATTGTGGAGTACATGTCTTCAGAGCAAGGCAATACAGACCAAGGAGATGACAAATCCGAGAAAAGTGCTTTGCAGGAGGCCTCTAGCATGGAGGAGTCAACAACTTAGCCTGTAAAAACCTCTTTGCCAAGCTGAACGGTAAAGCAAAATTAAAACAGTCACATGTAAGCTTGTCATTACTCAATGACGATAGAAAGGACGAATGGCTTCTCCTCAGAGCAGGAGGCACCAGATAATGCTCCTGAATTTGCTTTGTGATAAGGAAATATAAGTTAATCCAAGGCTCTTAAAGAAATTCCAGATTATTTATGACTGGTCATACTTACAGGTACATGTACATGTAGCTCTGCAAATACAGTAATCCTTTAATCACTCTCTGTTTATGACACTGTTTTTTAGAAAAAGATAAATCTGTGTAAACAGTACAAATCCTGATGGTGTTGATTTGTCCTGAGAATTCTGGTGGCAGGTAGATCAAATTGGTTGATGTGATAAATTTTTCATTAGAATCCTTTGGCTATTGTTTGCAAGTAATGTACCAGTCAGCAGGTTAAAAAGGCCAATTAATGTACACATGTTTCTTTTAAATCTGTTTGCTTAACTGCAGGCATTTGAGTTCTGCTGGCACCACTTCACAGTACATTTGTACCGATTACAGCAATTGCAACTGACCTGCTTGAACAAAAAAACAAAACAAATTTAGGTACACCCTGCTTTTTGTCATGATTTATTACGGAATTTTGCAACGGATTGCAACATGACTCAAGAAAAAGAGTGATGAGAGACAGCAGTGTAGTTATTTTGCAGGCTAGCCAGATCAACCTTTTGTACTACATGTACATGTATACTGAGTTTAAAATAATTATTAGCTTCTTTCATTGGGACCAACTACAGTGGCAATGGTAATGTTGACATGCTGTGGAATACTTATAGCTGGTCATTACTTTCATGACCCTCAATTTTCTTAGAACTGGGCAAGTACTAGAAGGTCCGGCTGGTACTTCCTCTAAGAGCATATCCAATACTATACAGGAACCATTAGCAACGAAAATGAAGTTAAAGAAGTCTGATCTGAATTTGAATAGCTATATGTACCTAAACTATTTCTTAGTTTGCTAAATGCTATAACACAGTTGTTATACCAGCAAAAATTGTAAATTGGTAGCAAGAATTAGGCCTTTCATGCTAATAGAGCCTAAAGGAAAAAATGCCACCAGAATCAAATTTTGTTTAATCTGTAAATAGCAATAAATACAAAAATACTAGTTATTTATTAAAATGGGTGTCTTGAGGGTTCCATTTAGTTGAAACAGGATTTGGTCCTTAGATACAAAAGTTTAAGTAAGAAATAGTCTTGTCATAAGTAAATATTGGTCCAAGGGTGAAAGGATTTTTAACCTGTTTCTGAGTTGCAAAAACCTAAAGAACTGAAATAGGTTTGAGGCAACTCTGAAACACCTACAGCTGTATGTAGAATATCTTACACATTTAGATGAAGAACACGTTTCTTATAATATTAATAGTTAGTAATGATCTGATAGAGCATAGAGTGGATACAAGTAAACATCAACGAACAGTAAAATTGGGAATTAATATGAAGAGCTGTATGTACAGCTTTATACTGTAGTTTGTAATGTCTGTAATAATGTGTAAGCCACTTTGGTTTATGGAATAAATCATTTGAACATTAATGGGAGGTCACTGCTAGAATTTCTTTCAGTAACTTTAATGTTTGATTAATTATGGCCACTTGTTAAGAAACTGAAGTGAGCCATATTATAATTTAAAATTTAAAATTTTATCGCATTTGCTACAACCCAAGCAAACTCGTTTAAACCTTGGAATTTACATTTGCTACTGGAGAAAACATGCTCAATTTTATGGGTTTGATGACATTTGCTAACCAAATTAAAGTCAGAATTTGATTACATTTTCTACCTGAGCGAAAAATTGTACAATACTAACAGTTTGATCAGATTTGCTGCCCAAGCAACTTTGTTCAAAACTTGACTTTTGACCACATTTGCCGCTACAAGCAAAATTTTGTGTTTGATCAAATTTACACACCCTAGAAAATTTGTTCAAAGTTTAGGTTTGCTAACATTTGCTTCGTGAGGAAACATGTTTAATACAAAGAGTTTGGTTACATTTGCCATGCAAAGCAATCTGGTTCAATTATGAAAATTTGATCACCCATGATAACCCAAGCAAACATTGTTCAAATTAGATACTTCGCTCACATTTGCAAAGCTGCGTAAACGTTCTGAAAATAACAGGTTTACATGCTTTTACATCTAAAGCAAAAGCTGTGCAAAACAGCAGATTTGCGCTATCATTTGTGTAATGTGCAAATATAGTTCAAAGAAACATATTTGCCTACACATTTGAACCATCTGCAAATGACCCTCAAATCCATGGCTGCCCATTATCTTTGCACCAAGATGTAAATGTTGTGCAAATGTGGCATTTACCGTCATTGCTACGGATAGCAAATCTAGTGCAATATCAGTCTTTGCTCTTGCGCAAAATTGTGCAAATGTGGTATTTGCTACACATTTACTGTAATTTGGCTACCCTAGTAAATCCATTTTTTCGTCCAGTGAAAGGAATATAGCAAAGTATTTATTTTTTTGATAAACTCTTCTTTATTTGAAATGAGAACAACCCTGTATAAAATCTTTGGTATGGCGAAAGACTTGATCACTTGAATTTTTCCAAGGAGTGTAAGACCTCTCCAGCTCCAGCCCTTCAGCAATCCCCTCAGAGATTTCTCGATTGATTCAAAGTTAAGCTTATAAAACAGTGCGTGATTAAAGGTGAAATGAACCCCTAGGATCTTTATGGCCTTACTTATTTCATTAACACCTAGTTCTGAGCTGTTTACTTCCATATTTCCTAGTAGAAGAATTTCCGTTTTGTCGTGATTGACCTTCAATCCGGAGTATGTACTAAACAGATCGATAGTATCAAAAGGGTGCGATCAAAAATTTGTCCCTAACAAATGATGTCATATCATCAGCGAATATAACTAATTTGATTTCGAACCATCCACCTCAATACCCTTAATTTGATCGTTATTACGTATGGATAATGCCAATAATTCAAGTACTATTATGAAAAGACATGGCGAGAGTGGGTCGCCCTGGCGAACACCCCTTTAACATTGAAAGAGGGGTGGAAAAACCATTATTGAAAACACAACTTGATATATTATTATAAAACGTCTTGATCCACCCCAAGAAGGATTCTCCAAAGCCAAAGAACTCTAGCGATTTGTGGAGGAAGTTCCAATTTAGAGAATCAAGGCTTTCTCAAAATCAATTGCAGTCATTATACCTTGGTAGTCTCAAGATTTTAGTAAATTCCAACACATCGGTTATCGTCATTTAGTTGCATCAAAATTGTTCGTCCTTTTACAAAGGCATTCTGGTCATAATGGATAATATGTGGTAGGACATTTTCTAGCCTTTTTAGCGATAGCTTTTGAGCCAATTTTAACATCAACATTTACCAGAAAAATCGGTCTCCAGTTTTTATCCATCTCCTATCTTTGTCCTTTTCTCAATTAAAGTTATTACGGCTTGCTTTTGCGAATGTGATAATTCACCATGAAAATACGATAATTTAATGAGTCCACTAGAAATGTTCCGATTTCTGACCAGAAGAACTTGTAAAATTCTATAGTGAGCCCATCGTTTCCAGGAGTTTTATCGTTACTAAAGGTAGACAGAACCTTGAAACATTCGAATATGTTAATTGACCCTCGCACGTTTCCCGCATTGAGTCGGTTAACTTAGGAGATGAGAGGGTATCTTCCAGAAAAGGACAAATCGAATAGTCAGTTTGTATTCCCGACTTTTCGTCATAAAGTTCAGAATAAAAACTGTGAATTTCAGTCATAATAGTGTCCGGAACAGTAGTCTCTTCTCCATTTGCTCGAATAAGTTTTCGTATGCAGCTTTTTTTTTATTTCTGTTTTCCAGATTTAGAAAATACTTGTTGTTTCTTTCCCTTGTTCAAACCATGTAGCGAACGAATGATTGAGCCTCTTACAATGTAATCATACTCTTGTTCGTATTCTGTTTTGACCGATTCGAGGTTGGCAAGGTTTTCTTGCGTCGGTGATTCTGCTATTTTTTCCTCACATATTTTAAGCCTGTTTTCAATTGTTTGAATTCTATTTCTCCTTTCTTTAGCTTTCAGTTTGCTATACGATATACTTTCCCCGCGAATTTTGTATTTCATCCAGTCCCATTTAATTCTCAAATCATCGCAAAAATTAATTTCCTCTATCCACTTAGGAAAGTTCTCGCGTAAACGCTCAACGAAAAAAGCGTCATCCAAGAGACTGTTATTGAACTTCCAAAAAGATGGGCCACGCTGCTGATTATTTAGACTGTCAATTTCTAAAGTTATTGCATGGTGATCCGTTCTTATAGCTGTCACTATGTCGACTTTAGCTACATCATCTTGTAATAGGTCACTAATGAGCCAATAATCAAGGCGTCTTTGAATAATTGGGCTTTTTTGTCTCCAAGAAAATTTCTTGCTATTAGGATTACGGATTCTCCAGATGGCAACTAAATCATAATTCAGCATAATGTCCTCCACACACTTAACAGAGTCTTTTAACACAGGGTTTCCACCCGAACAATCTAGGTCTGGGTCCATAGTTACGTTCCAATCCCCTCCTGATATAATTTTGTAGTCAAAATCATTGTATCCCTCATCATAGATAAGCTCAGACAATGTTTGGAAGAACAACGATTGCTTAGTGGTGGTATTGGGAGCGTAAATATTTATCAGAAGGAATGGAACATCTTGAATAGTTGTGTCTAAAATGAGGTACCTCCCATCCTCATCCGATCGAATTGATTTCAATTTGAAGTCAAAGGATTTACGTATAAGGATGGCGACCCCACGACTATGGTTAGAGCCATGAGCAAAGTAAATGTCCCCGGACCACTGCTTTTTCCATTGATTTTCAATCTCTTCAGTGCTGTAAGTTTCCTGCAGAAAGCAGATGTCTGAATTTTGCTTGTATAGCCAGTTGAAAATGGACTTAGGTTTTTCAAAAGAACGGATACCCCGAACGTTCAGCGAAAGAGTTTTAAACTTTAAGTTGTTGAAATCCATTGAAATTTGCATACGTGTAGGGGAAAAAAGACAACAACAGTAGCTGTTATTCCCAGAAGGGTCACTGTTACTCGAACAATTAACGCATTCCTGATTTTGTCAAGTGCAAACTGAATAAATATAGAATAACATACATAACAAAACAAAAGAAACGAGATGAAAAACGTAGCCAGTGTAAAGAATTAAACTGTTGAAGCTACGCCTGGACGAGATCAAGTGTTATACTTTTGTTTAAAACGAACTTCAGAAGAGAACTAAGGAATATGCTAATCGATAGCTCCCAATAGAAACGAAAAAAAATAAGAAGTAAACTACTTCCTGCGAATTCTAAAAATAAATAACCTGGAACTATTTATTTATGATTTTACCTCCACACCGTCAATAAAGAGTTTATAGGGTTCCGCTCTACTGAAGGCTGCCCGTTTTCCATCTTTTCTTGCTTGTACCATCTTCGGAATAAGCCTCTTCCTCGTATCAATCACCTGCTTAGGTAGATCTGGGCCAATACCGAAATTCGACTGGCTATCGATGTTGCGTCGGCAAGAAAAGAGGTTTTCTCGATCTTTAAAGCGAAGACAGCGTGCTATGATGGTCCTGGGTTTTCTTGTGTTTCGGTCCTTTTTACCGACGCGGTGGACTCTTTGGAACTCAATAGATTGGGCGTTTTCCGCATTTAACTCTTTCTCCAAGAAAGCTTTCAAAACGGGTTCAGTATTCTCTTCCCCTTCGATTTCTGGAATGCCGTAGAAACGAAGATTTTCGCGGCGGCTGTACACTTCATAATTTAAGAGTTGGAGACGCAAGTGATCCAACTCCTGTCGTGACTTCTCTTCGTCATCTCGGAGTTTTCTCTTACTGGTTTCCACTTCATCATTCAGGAATTTTACGCTTGTTTTAAGCGTATTTGTTTCTTCGACTGTATTTCGTACGTCTTCCTTTAAGCGGTGGAATTCGCTTTGAAGGTTTGCGACCGTTTGATTTATTCGATCCACAGAGTCCTGTAAGTCATTTATTTGTGTGCCGATATTTTCCAGTTGACTTAACTTTGATAATATTAGGTCCACTTTGGAGGCGAAATCTTGTGCCATATTGAGGGCAGACAGAACTACGTCTTCAGAATAGTTCTTCGACTTTGGTGGCGATACAATGGCGGGTGAGCGTTCGCTTGGTCTTCTTTCACACTCTCTTTCAACCGCTTCGTTTCGGGGGAAATGGTCTCGCTGGTCGGTGAATTACTCCCTCTCGTTTTCCGTTTAAACAGAGATGAAAGTGGCGATGAAAATTCCATAAAAAATATCAGAACGCATGGAAGAGTACAACAAAAGTTACGAAGCTAACAATCACACGTCCTTACTCAGTCATGCTCAGTCTCAGTCCCCCAAATGCTTTGATCTTTAACAAATTCTCCCGACTATAAATGCCTTAAGGGGTCAATCAGGGGTGTCTCACGTCAGAATAGGGAGCTTAAACGGAGGCGTTTTTGAGCGACGCCATCTGCCCGAAGTGAGGCGCTTTTAATATGCCGCCTTGATGCTATAAAATTTATATTGCTTAGTTTCTTAATTTGCCTGAAAATTTGGGCAAATCTATTGCCCAATATAATAAGGTAAAGAAAGAAAAAATCACATAACTAACAGAACGTAAATCACACAGACTTTCCGAATGACCATAAGCAGAGAACGGACATTGTCTGTATAAGCTGACGCTGCAAAGGAGTCTGCTTTTAAAAAAACGAAAACCGCCAGAGAAATGTTGGGAGCTTCAAAAAAGTAGCAGACGTAGTTATTTTTGTACAAAATATTTACTATATTGGATGTGATACCAAGTGAGGACGGCCATGTTGTTTTTAATTGGTTTAAAAATGACGTAAAAATTCTGTATTTTGGTGGGGTAGAATTGCTTTTTGGTAGGACGTTTTAGGTCATGCAGCTGAGGATCAGAATGAAATCCGATCTTCCAGTTGGTAAATAAACCATCCTGGATCAGTCCACACGAAGTTTTACAGTCGTGGTTGATTGATACAGTCTATCATTTATTAGTGAAGAATAAATAAGGGAGGGGGGGCTTAATAGAAAGGGGGGCTTATTAACTTTCTTCCCTTGAAAAGGGGGAGCTTTTTAGAGGGAGGGGGCTTATTTGAGAGGGGGGGAGCTTAATAGAGGATTTACGGTAGTATTATACCATGCAAGCTTCTTAAGAGTATGATGTTCTTTCTATGTGCCATGCAGTTACAATAATGATGTAGGATACTTGTAGTAAATTCACCCATTCACCCACTCCTGGCAATTTTGCTGGAAAACGCCTTTTGAAGCTCGCTGTTTTGTGGTCACCGTATTGCCACTGTGTGAAGGATTCTCCTCTATTCAATGACCTTAATTATAGTTGAATAACTTATATGAATTGATTCCATTTTAGATAAGGACGCAAAGGACCTTACCATTAATTTGTAGAACAGTAAAAAGATTTGTTCTTTTTGGTGACCATGACGGAGATGTCTTTGCACTGGAGGAGAGATGGAAATAGTTCAGGTAATCTGTTTCACGGTCGCATTACTACAGACCACTTCACTTCATGCCCATGTATAATAGACAATGCTGTTACGACTGTTAAACTCTTTAAGCCCCAATATTCAAATACCGGTTCTCCAGACTGATCTCCATACATTTCCCTAAAGAATTGGTTAAGAGAATTTGTTTGTAGATCAAAGCTTTTCCCATCAGGTGATCATTTTATTAATTCTCACAACATTTTCTCTTGATTCTGTCTGGATTTTGTACCTAAAGGTTTTTATAAGTGATTTTTTAGACTCTAATTTGAGCAGTCCTTGTGCAACTCCTTCTTGTTAATATCTTGACAGCTCATTCATATTATTTTCTAAAATATAGCTTAATTCATCACACATTGTACTCACTATTATCTATCTTCTCAATGACTTGGAGCCTTTAGCTAATTGTCGCTCGCTTGCCCGCTTCTCGGCCTATAAGAACGCTCCGCTCACTAAGAAACTCGTGAGGTTGACTTGCAGCAAAGGACCGTGAGATGTTCCAGACACTCATCTAATGATAATATTAGTTAGTATTAGTACTAGGTACAGGTACCGGAAAATGAAGTGTTGTCTTTGTTGTGGAGAAACCAACTCTCCCCAGTTTGTTTCTATAAAGGTTGTGTTTTTTTCACTTTGGAAATAGCTACTGTAGTCAGTCCAAAATTATGGTGCACTTATTTACCTATTCACCCCTGGGAATTTTGCTGAAAAACGCGTTTTAAAGCTAGTCGAGCCGTTTTCTGGTCACTGTCTGGCTGTTAAGAGATAAAACATGCCACAAAGCCCTTTACAGGTCCTGTACTTGGCGGCCTTCTTATTATTTTGGGCATACGCAGGAAGCAAAGTTCCGATGGGTTTAATAGTGACACAGGAGTCCTGACTATTTCTTTTCACTTTCTCTCCTCTCCACTTCTTTCGTTCTTCTTGCCTGGTTTTTTCTTTTGCCGGGCATTTACAACTGTAGCAGGATTCATTTTGTCGGGAAAAGTTTTTGGGAAAGCTTTTAGGATGAAAGGAAAGGTAGGTGGGTAGTGGAAGAAGAATTTCATGGGAATTTTCGCGTCAGCTTTACTGGTTTTTTGCCTTTTCCCCAGTCTCCTTTACTGAATCGTGCTTGTCTAGTATGGTTTGAAAGATCTCTTCACCCTGCACAAAGTTGTCCTTTACCGTCAACAATTAAAATGCCAATAACAGTGACATTTACATGTTTAAGCTTGTTCCTTGTTGAAATTTCTATGCTAGGAGCCAGTCTCTTTGTATGGAGACACAAAATTCTTCTCCATGGCCAAGCTGGATCGCTCACTTAGCCTTTCTACGATTAAAAAGTTCGTGGAGGAAGAAGAAGCAAAGTAAGCTGATAACTAGCTCTAACGAATGGTTTAATTCTTATAACAGTTACCTTTAAAACAATAATTTTACCATACTGATCTTTCTAGCAATTAATCGAATAAAGCAATTATTAACAGACTTTAAGCAAATGGTTTTCATGGTTTTGGCGCTGTAAATTGACTAGTCTGAACTGTTATACTTCTCCACCCCTAACCCGTGGGGGGCGCGGGGGATAGCAGAGAAGTCTGAATTCCGAGCGTTATAATGCCGTCCGGTGACTTCACCTACTTTTGCGAATACGGCAGGTATTTTCTGATTGGCTATTACCCTTCCGAAAACCTTCCCGAAAACATCCCGTTTGACAGGATAAACGAGACTTATAATTGCTGTGTGAAACATGACCTTAAGGTTAGCGGAAGTTAGCCTCTCGTCACAAAGTCACGGAAGACTTATAGTATATAGCAACTGATAAATTGACTGCCATGGTAAAGCAGAACACACCTTTTGTTACTTGTTGTTTCTATCAATCGCAGGCCTAGGCCAAACGTTTAAATTTTCATGAGACTTACCACACGTAGTGAGTGAACTTCATGAAAAATTCGACGTCTGCCTTAGTTACGTTCGTCTAAATGAGTTTGGATCGTCCAACACGTTCTAGTAAGGAGAGGTCAGGAGAGTTCTCAGATTAAAAGCGACTCTTCTCTTTTGATACGTTTAAGCTCCAGCTAAGGGTGAGAAGAATGAATTCTCTGCCTATGTTATGTTGTCCTTGTTGGATCAATTGCCCCACTCTACACTTTGAGACTGTAAAACTGTCCTTTCAGGTTGCCAAGTAAACTGGTTATAGAATGGCCTGAGGATGACAAGCTCGATCCTAACTCGAAAATCCCAGCAGGAACCACCATAGGTGTGTACTTCTCGATAAACGATAAACTCTGTTGTATTAGACAATTTTCTTGGTTGCTATTCAGTTTCAATTGGAAAATTAAAGCCGATAGAAAAAAAATAAACGATCTGCGGCGATTGAAAATTAACATACGTAGGTCAGGTTTGAAATGTCCTAAATCATTAAATTTTCTCAGTCCTAAAGTAATTAGAACCCCTAACTTCCCCAACGATAGCCTGCGTCGAAATCCCCAATATACACTATATCACGTTTTTAAGTCTAGGTGTCGACTAGTATGTCCGGCTACAATGCAGGCTACAACAATGAACTATTTCTTGGCTGTATATTATATGCTTATTTATGTGGTCTCATCCTTTTTTTGTTTTTTCAGAAAGTTGGAAAAAAATTAGGGAAAAAATTCGGTCGGAAAAAAATGAGGGGTGGGGTTGTGTGGGGTGGGGAGGGAGGCGGATCAATAAAACAGGATACAATGTCTTACCTTTCTTGAATGTATCACTGCATTGTTTTGATGAGCAGAACTGTAGCAGTTTTTCCCTCTTCCCAAAGTAATACCTACTGTTGTTGTTGTTGTTGTTTGCTTTGGGTTGTTTGTTTGTTTTTTCTTTTTCGCAAAGTTGATTGCAAAATTGCCGTTCGTCTTGTCTTTTAATTGTTTCTATGTATACTAGCTCCTTTGGACGATGTTGTGGCGTCTCGCTTTCTTTATGTTTCTACGTACGTCAATTGGTTTGCATAATATTAGTCTTCCTCTTCTTTAAGTTTCTCTGTGTGTTAGTTAGGCCTAGGCCAAACGTCGAACCACTTCGGTGGATTCCTTCAACAGTCCCAGAAGTTAGAACTGCTGTACAAAACTTCATTATTCTTTCACTTGGGGGGGGGGGGTAGGTGTGAACGGGTTAATACATGTTTCACTGTATCACTTGTCAAGAAATATAGCTTACTGTGAGCAATAGTGGCTTCACTACCATCTCAGAAACTTAGTGGCAACTTTTAACATCGTTTAAAAACGATGTATTTTCCATTTCTTAATCAGGTGCCATGAAAGTGGACATTTTAAACGGAAAGGGTGAATCTGTGAACAAACTTCCTGGTGACAGAAGAAGACTGTTGGTAGAGTTAAAGGTCATTTGGCATGGTAAGAGATAAATGTTTTATATTGTAAGGAGAAGTACATGATTTGTGATGGGCTCGTACTATGCATTGCTGGCTGCTCGTAGCAATAAGCTTTCCTCTGTTTTAATCAAGTGTTGACAAAAAGTTAGGTCTCCATTCGCACAAAATACCTCTCTCAAGAGTTAAGAAATTTGTGTTTGTACTTGTTACTTTTACTTGTTTGTTATGGCCATTGTTTCTAATGTTACTCAAGTCCGTTGAAGAAGTTAGAGTCCTCTCCCGATCGCTAATGATAAAATTCCTAACATTTGATAACCTGTTTTCGTTACTACGACATTCTCGCTAAAACTCGCAATAGAATGACGATTGCTACCACTTTTTCCAGCCAAAATGATGTTGGTTAGCGCGCGCGCACTACTTAGTATTGAGAAAATCTCCTTCTCGTAGTCGTCCTCGTCTTAGAATGTAAAGCTGTCTATTGTTATCATTCATAAAGGATCGTTATTGTTATTTATTTATGTATTTTTTGCAGGAAGTGACAAAGATGGAGATAAAGTAATCACTAATCATGTCTGTCAACATGGGGGAAAGAGCTGGCCATACTGGTTCAGGAAAATGGGTAACTGAGTCTGCTGCTATGAGATTTAGTGTTTTAATCCAGTGGATAGGAAGACTACAAAACAGTCCGTATTTTTGCGTATTCAAGTACGCGCGAGCAGTCAAACAAAAGGTCTGGGACGAGGCTGAAAACAAAGAGCGAGACTGGAGAGAGACGGGCATGTGAGGCTCCTTACACCACGCTTTACGAATTATCGATTTCTTTACTGATTTTGAGAAAAAAACCGACTGTTTTGCAGCCTAGTGGATAGGGCTATCCAGCGTTTGAACAACTGGGGCCAGTTGAAAACAGTGTGTGGATTTACCTGTTCTTGCTGTTGTTTCAGAAAATATTACCCTCCTTGGCCCACATACTCTTCAGCTTCAAGTGTTACTGAGTGACAGTTCAACTGCGCCATCAATTAAGAGTCTTCCAGCCCATCGTATCAGGTTCACCGTTACAGGTTTGTAAAAAATGACCAGCCAGGGACAGTTGTAGGTTGCGTTTACGCTAGATGTGATTTTTCTGGATTCGTGACGATTCCGAACAATTTGGTTCCAGATTCGTTTTGTCGTTACACGCGGAAGCGTGAATCCGAGATAAGAACCTCCCGAAAATTTTGAATCCGAAAAGTTTACATTATGAAAAGAATGTTTGATGAGTAATTTGCAAGTTTGCTCATGTGATAAGACAGATCAAAATTTAACTTTGCCACAGGTTAAACCCTTTAGGTTGGTTTATCTTTGTAATTATATTGAACTCAACTCCTACAGTAGATCCACGCGAAAGACTGTCATGTGGAGAAATTGAGAAATTCACGCGTAATTGTTAAATAACAAATTACTACGGTTTGTCAATTACTGTGGACGTTACCGTTATAATTCTTGTCGTCATTAACAGCCTCGTCAGAAGTCATAAAATTTTCCCTGGCATTTTTTTTTTATTGCAAAAACCTTGAATGGGAACATTGTAGTTTTGATCCACCCTGTTAAAATAACTCGTACATCTTTTGTTATCTTGTTTCTCCTTTGTCATTTCTGTTTATTTAGAGGCTCATCCAAACAAATTCACCGTTGGAATGTTGGAGACACCTCTTAGAGTAGGAGTTCCTTTCCAGGTATACTTTTTTTGTTCTATCCCCTTCTCCACCCCGTTTTTGAGAGGATGTATACGTAGCTCCCGTAAGGGGTGGGAGAGGAGTTCTTCCTAGTAATAGGCCAATGGGTATGTGCCCCCCCGGATAGGGTCGAGAGGATGTAGCTCCCATAGGCGGAGGGTACTTCCTAGTAATAAACCAATGGGTATGTGCCCCTGGATGGGGTCGCATTTGGGTATGTGCCTCCCTGGATAGGGTCGAGAGGATGTAGCTCCCGTAGGCGGAGGGTACTTCCTAGTAATAGGCCCCTGGATGGAGTCGCATTTCCACGACTGGGTTGACTATAATTGGAAATAATGGCCTTGCATTTGCAGAAGAGTTACCAGAATTGGGAGTCAGGTTTTCGAGATTTTGGGGGAAAAATCTTTTTAAGAAGGGGCTTAAAACTGGGAAGTTGGGATTGTGAAAACTACATTTGCCCAAAAGTGACTAAGATGGAGTCTATAATTGGCCACAGAATGGTCTATAGTTGTGAAGAGGTTCTAAGAGGCTAGCAACACATAATAAGCAAAATATTATCCAAGTTCCCCTAGCAATCTGAACTAGAGGGTGGTAACAAGGTTTAGCTAGTCTAGAATGGTAATTATAACATACTTTGTTTTCTTGGTTAAGATTCCACTGAATTTGCTGGATGAGTTTAACAACCCTTCAAAGTTATCAGAGGAAAAAGCACCCGTGTTAAGTGCAAGGCGAGTGTATTTTGATAAATTTTTAATGAAACATGGATTCGTAACCTTGGTGTTAAAGTCAATCTTGCCTTCAACGGAATAACATATCTTCTTTACATTGTTAGCGGACTGGAGTTAACTCACCAGGGAACATCAGTGAAGGGAAACAGCCTGATCGTTAAGGGTGTGATGGCCCTTGGTTCTGTACCATCCCATGCAGGAAAGGTGAGGGATTTTTGGAAAAAAACTTGGCCGGTGTGGTTCAATTTCTCGTCATAAAATGGAGTAAGACGATATCATCAGTAGCCTTCATGATTCAGAATCTCAAACTTACATTAAATTTATCTAAACGGTTTTTTTGTTTCTTTGTTGTAAAAGGATTTTAATCTAAAGATCACCCTACCAGGACTCGAAGAGGGTTCACAGAGCTTGAAGATCAGGTTACTTCCAGATACTCTTTTGACGCCATATGTGGGTTGAGTTTGTTGTTGGTTCTCTCCCTTACTCCGAGAGGTTTTTCTCCTGGTACTCCGGTTTTTCCCGCCCCTTAAAAACCAACACTTCCAAATTCTAATTCGATCTGGAACGCACGGACACGTTTCAACGAGTTCTTAAGAACTCCTAAGTGCTCCATGGGTAAACAAATTACGATTTACAATTTTCACCAGCATGTAAATTTTCCCTTAAAAAACGACTCCGAGACTGTCTAAAAAGGATGCGTTCCTTTGGGTTGATTAGGATCAGTGATCAGAGATCACTCGGATCACGCTACATCAAATGAACCGAAGAAACCTTTCCCAGTGTTGATTTGTCGGTTCCTTTGATGTGCTTTGGTTTGAGTGATCTGTGATCACTGATCCTGATCTGGCTTATCTCAATGGAACGCACCTTACAAGGCAACGTGGCTGTAGGGTTTTACTGTGTCGTGCACGCCCTCTTCTCAGTCCAATTTTTGACGCTCTTTAGCTTGTTTCTGTTTACTGAATCACGTTTTGTGCTGCAGGCCCACCAGAATCCCTTGCGGTCACACCAAATGACAGTGAAGTCACAATTGAAAACAACAGTGCCCTGCAGCTACAAGTGCAGGACAAAGCGGGAAACCTAACAGTTCAACCAAGGCTTAATGTTGTCTGCAAGGTAACTGTGCTAATGTTCACCCCGTTTTGATTTGACTAACTGTGGAGTAATTGCTCCTTATTCCTAACATTAGAACTTCAATTTTAAAATGCTGGTTCCACAACTTTGTTAAGGAGTCATGAGGCGTTGAGTATACTGTGTTCAAGCAAATTGACGATTGTTAGACGTTCACTGCAACTACATATTTTAAAATCCCTGATAGCTCTAAGCTTTGGAGAATACACAAAGAACCTCATACCTTGTTTCCAACATACGGTAAACTGTTCGTATTATTTTATTGTAGGCAAGCTAAATGTAATCTACAGTTACTGCTGTCTCGAGCTCCGTGAATATCAACTTGACCTTGCTATAGTTTTAGAACCAAAATTTGATCAGAAACTTCACAGATCTTCACATGCAGTGTCCTTTGTATGGAGAATAACAACTGGACAACAATTTTCCAAGGTCTATTCTCTCATCGATCACAGAAATGATGTCAAAATGTTCAAAACTCGAGTGGAGCCACGAGAGGCAGGCGAGCTGCAAGTTTTGAACTTCTGATGTCATTTCAATGGTCGATAATTGTAGCCACCATGAAAAATTGTCGATTGTAGAGCAGACGTTGGAGGCATTTTTATTTAGTTTTTTTTTTTAACGAAAGCTCAGAGGTACATTGATGGCGGCCGCCATCTTAAAAGCAATGTCCAAGATAGCGGCGATAGTACCATCGTTCGCACTTCAAAATACGCCTATTTTGCACGTTACAATCGGCGACAAAATTGTTAAGACAATGGGACAATCTAGGAGAACAAAACAATCCGTACCTCTCCTCTCCCCCCCCCCATCCCGTCCGTTCATAGTTAGGGTGTTTCGAACAGGTAGCTCGAACAGCGGCACAACGTTGCATGGAGGGGGTATGGGAGGGAAAGATTTATTCCCCCCTTTTAAGTTAGCAAGACGTCAGAGATGCCCTTTAGGGCAAAGTGTCTCAACTAATTTTGTGGCCGATTGTAGGGAAATCGCGCGAGAGAGAAAGAGCAACAAAATATATAAGGCCATGATCACTTCATTTCCGAGTCTCATCGAGCACAGCTCTCGACTAATCAGCGTGTGAAAAATCGCTTTGTTATTGTAAAACTTGAATTTGATAAGAAACAACTTGTTGTGTTGTAGCTGACAGGCACAGCAGGCTTACCAACTTGCATAGGAGACTGCAGTGCATCTGGGAAGGCCTCCCTAACAGGCGCTGATATCAGTCTGAAGCAGATCACCAAGGAAACCAAACTAAAGGCCAATATAGAGTTACAGGTTTGTCATTTGATTAGGGAAATGGTGATGGTCCCTTTTGGCTTTGGTACTAGAGACCTTTAGATTCAAGAACGAGGACGACTGCTTATTCTCAAAATACAGACTCCCCGGAAAGCTTCATTTTACCATTTTTCACTAGAAAATTTAGCACTGTTATCTTTAGTGAAGGAGGTTACGCGCTCTCCCGATCCCAAAATGATAAAACTTCCAACATTTGACAACTTGTTTTCGTCACCACGACATTCGCGCTAGAATTCGTAGTAGAGTGACGACGGCTACCACGTTTTCCCGCCAAAATGAGGCTGGTTCACGCGCAAGCCCTACTTTGTATTGAGAAAATCTCGTACTCGTCTTAGAATCTAAACCTCTCTACTATCACCCTGCGAGCAGGGCCTGCTTTTGTCCTTTTAAGTGAGGAGGAAAAAAAGGAGGTTCTGTCTGATTTGCATGATCCCAGTGAAGTCGCCGAAGCCAGAACATCTGGACCAGTCAATCTTGTTCTCTATCGTCAAACTGGTTTTCCAAGTGCGACCGACCGTTTATTGATGAACCGAAGGCCATACCTAAACCCACTGTACCGTGTGCACAGCTTTTAGACCTGGGTTCACAAAAGTTTATCAGCAACAATTGCCTCATGTACAACAACAAGCTTACTCGATTTGTGCGGAGTCTTTCTCAAATACGCCAAAATCGAGAAAGTTGAAGGAAGGCACTGTCAGCAGGGTGTGGTGCGTAGTCGTAAAGTTCTTGCTTTACATCTTTAAATTGTATCTGGGCTTGGCTGACCAACACCCCGAACCTTAGCATGTTTGTTTGTCGTTTTTATAAAACACACAACGGTAGCCCTGATTTAGTGACTGGTTATGATCTTTTAGCATCATAAAGAGGTTGCTTCAGTGGAGAAGACCATTATTGTGACACCCAGTAGTAAAGCAGCAGAGCTGGAAGTGTTTTACAAATTTCCTGATGCGAAACAGAAGAAGAAGCTGGACGATGGACAGGAGCTGCCTTGCACAGCAGGAAACGCACTTACTGGACTGAGTATGTGATAAACCACAAATCAGTGTACTTAGTTTGATAAGATTTTTTCGCCCTTGTTAGCCTTAAGTTGCGTAGGGAATTAGTATAGGTAATAGCATGATTTGTAGTGATATTTGGCATAAATACCACGAATGAAATTTGAGACTACTTTGAAATATCACGAGTGGTATTTATGACAAATATCACGTACAAATCTTCAGGCTTAGAAAAGAGAAAAAATGGGTTTGAAAAGAGGAAAGGCATTTAGGTGCACCAAAATGCCACTCCTTATCATAGAGGCATGACCACATCAGCTAAAAATTAGGAAGTTTATGCAACGATAAATAATAAGAAACAAGCAATCAATAGGTTTTGCCTTAACTGAACTCGATATTAACGACACGTCACACTTTTTGGTGCAAACGCAAAGGTATTTCCGGTCGTCGCTTCTCTCCACCCGAACAGGAAACACGTCTGCGTTCGCCCGCTATCCTTTGCAGAACTCTAACACGAAATTTCCCGCGAACTTAAATGGGGGCACGAACATATGAAGATACATTTTCCTCTCTTTATAACTTGGGAGTGGTCCCTTACAATGTGTCCTTAGGAACATTGGTCATGAGCAAGTTGCTATCACGATTAAGTTTGAAAGATCGAGTCTTCACTGTACTGGTGACGCCTTCGTAGTTACTTAAACTGTCCATTCGCCTCCTTAGAAACGAGAAGGGGATTTGAGCCCATACGTGTCCCGCAAATGTTTCTAGGATTGTTACTGGGAACACGACCGTCAGCTATTGGCCAATTTTTTTCCCTGTTGTCAGTAACAGTCCAGAAGTCTTTGCAAACGTCAACTTGGTCTAGTTTCCTTCTCAGTGTGTATCAGTCAATTTTCTTCTTTTGTTGGTTTAGTTCAATTTGCAGTCACATTTTATCTTCTGCCAGCTGTCAGTGTCACGACCTGGTTTCCTCCAAAGTTGGTTAAATGTAACCCAGCCTAGCCTTTTTCTCGTCATTAGGGACCTTACGAAACCACGACGACGACGGCAACGGGAACGTAAAAAAACAATAGGTTTAATGAGCAAAACAACAACTCTGCACGTGCATCACGCTTTTTTGTACATTTCTTTGCCTTTAATGCATAACTACGGCGTGAAATAACCAAATTTTAAGTTTACTTGGGAACGGGAACGGCAAGGCGATAAATTCTACCATCTCTGTCCGAACTTGAACGCGTTCCCCTATCTTCAGCTCCAGCCAAAATCCCCTTCTTTTAAGTAACAGGGCGAATTGGGATAATCGCGAAAAAGTTTGAAATGACGCGAAGTCTGTTTTTCAGCGACGTTTTCATGGAAGTCGCCGTTGTCGGATCATATCCAAGGACGGCGACGGTAGCGAAGACGTTGTTAAAGTTCTATCTCTTATTGCAAGGGCAAGTTAATATTGCAAATGTAACTGTAGCATCTTGCTGTCACCGACAGGTTTTAGAATTCTGGATGAAGGACAGAGAGAAGTAACAATAGACAACTCCCTAGCCAGCAGATTTAAGGTAGATCCAAGAGAGGTCTTAGTCATTCTAAATGGAAAGGATATAAGTAATTCGCTTGCTCCTATGTAAATATCCTTACGAAAGTCGTTGCGACAGTTAACTTAGCCCAGTTTCTAGAGTAGCGAATCAAATTTTATACCAATAGTACATTTTCAGGTTACCGAGCAAACCATCAGATCTTTATCAAAGCAAGGCTTGGTGCACAATCATCCATGCGAACATGAGTTTAATTAATTTGTGTGTGAATGAAAACTTATTTCCATAATGTATAGGTTTAGCCGGGGCTAAAGGCGAAGCTCCTGTTAATAAAAAACTTTTCAATAAAGAAATCCAGGTAGAGATCAGCCTGCAATCAGTTGAAAACTGGAAACTTGTCAGCGGTAAACTTAAATTAAAAAGAAGACGTAACCTCGATGGGTCGACACCTGAGCCCGTGATACGGTCAGGTGATACTGGTCAGCGGATACTCTACTTTGACAGCTGTCAACTGACCACAACATGGATGTGCAATATCAGGTTGCAGGCTCCCAAACTAGCTAGAAAGTGTAGCATTTCATATTGCTTTCCCTGTGGACGGGACGGGCGGGCTGGCGGGTCGTTGGCCGTACGGTCATGTGACAGCCACAATTTCTCGGATGGGTAGGTAACCAAATTTTCTTAGCTATGGGGCTCCGCTATGAAATGACCAATAACAGGAGTTTCTTTTATAAAGAGGCTGAAGGCAATCGGAAAAGGCCCATTGTAGAAAACGAGTAGCCACCCATAATGTGAGCACGGTCAAAGACAGAATATTTCAGTAAAGGAAATTGGACAACAAAATGCAATCCACTAGGTCAGCATGTCAACTCAACAATCAAGGCTCTTTAGGAAATAGGAATAACACACATCTTCACATAAGCAAACTTAGTGCGCTTTCCATCTGCCAGACCAGCCCACTGTCCAGCCAGAATAGTCTATTTTTAAATTCTGTGCACATCAGTGTTGGTTTTCAGTACTAAATACTGCGGCTGGCATTATAACTTTTACTTGTAAATATGATCATATAACTTCCGTTCTAGTTAGACTACATTGGCTCCCTGTTTCCTATCGTATAAGGTTTAAAGTGCTACTGCTGACTTACAAAGCGCTTAATGATTTATCTCCTGACTACATATCTGAGCTACTTAATAAGCCTAAATATACCGGCAATCTTAGATCTCAGTCTTAACATCTGCTTAGTGTTCCTAAATCCAGAACTGTTACCTATGGCAATAGAGCATTTTCTGTCTGCGCTCCTAAGCTATGGAATGAACTGCCTTTTCAGTTGCGCATGTCGTCAAATATACAAGCATTTAAATCAGGACTGAAGGCAATGCTTTTTAAAATGGCCTATCTTTAGATGGGCATTTGCTTTATTATTTTGCATACTATTATGTATTTTCTTTTGTTTTCTATTTTTTTGTAGTGTGTAAGTTGTAATCAGTAATTATTTTTTAATTATATATAATTGTAGAAATTAGAATGGTAGGATGAAATTGTAAAAACTATTTTATAGTTAGTATAAGGTTTAAAATTGTAAAGCGCTATGAATAATTAGTATTAATAGCGCTATATACATGAATTATTATTATTATTATTATTATTATTATTGAGACGAACGGTCTTGACGTTTGGTCGACTTTTGGTAAGCGCCGTTGGTGTGAATTAGCAGTTGTAAACTTTTATTGTTTATCAATGTGGTGACTTGTCTTCTTGTTTCTCCAGGTTAACTGGACTCCTAAAGTTGCCAAAGACATCATCAAGCAAGGGATTCTTCCTGATGTGAAGGTAATTTATAGGACTTCGTGAAAATAGGTTTGTAAGTGACGATTTAAGCTTCTATGGAGCAACAGTTGGTTAGTGCGCGGCCTTCAGTGCTCAAGGTCCCCGGTGACATCGCATCCTTGATCCAGCGTCTCTCCTTCCTGTGTAGCTTCAACTAGCTTTAAATACCCCTTCAATGAAGTGTGATGAAGAAAGAGGGGTAAAATGAGTGCATTGTCGACCTCAAGTTTATCAGTTGAGTTACTGTCATATCGACGTAAAATATGGTTGCTTTTCCTTTTCCATCTTAACCCATTCGCCCCTGAACCGCCCGTAACCGCCCGTGCGGATCCAGGTCCTTTCTACCCTTTGTGACGTCATCAGTTTTAACGGTCGAGGACAACTTTCTTCGCTAACTTGTGTAGAGTGAAGAGATCTTTCAAACCATACCAGAATGAGCACAATTCAGTCAAGGACACCGGAGAAAGAAGCAAAAAACCACGTGACATTGACCTGAAAATCTCCATGAAAATCTTGTTGCATTGCTCACCTACCTTTCCTTTCACCTAATCCTAAGATCCTAAAAGCTTTCCTAAAAACTCTTCCCACCAAAATGAAGCCTACTAAATGCCCAGCAAGAGAAAAAAAACGAGACAAGAAAAGCGAAAAAAGAAGGGAGGAGAGAAAGCGAAAAGTAGAAGTCAAGACTGCTGTGTCACTTTTAAACCCCAAAACTATAAAATTTTGCTTTGTGCGCATGCCCGAACTTCGCAAGCTGATATTTTGCCTCTGGATCAGAAGGCCGCGAAGTGTACGACCTGTAAACCGGTTTCTGGTAAGTTTTAGCTCTTTATAGCACGACAGTGACCAGAAAACCACTCGACTAGCTTCAAAACGCGTTTTTCGGCAAAATCTCCAGCAGCGAATGAGTTAAGCTTTTCAAGCTGCCTTTGTTGTTGAATGTTTTGGTCACTATTTGCTATAAATCAAAGTTTCAGTTTCCAAACAATGATCATTCCAAAAAGTATAGATGATAGCCATAGGTAAAGCGAACACATACATGTAACGTACGTTTTGCTGCATCAACTGAAAAAACATACAGTGCTCTTTCCAGGCTAAGTTTTTTGTTTTGAGGTGAAAGTATTGTCATTTGTGTGTTCTTTGAAGGCACCTCTTTCTTGTGATGAACCAAAATACTGCCAAGTTAGTATGACTGGTGGAGCAGGACTGGAGTTTTCCTTCACGTTAAGGTAACACCCATCACTATGAACGTTTTTGCAAAGTAAGACTTCTTGCCAGACTTAAGCGAGGGAGAAACAACATTGTATAAAAGTGACAGTACAGTGGACCTTCTTACAACGGACACTGAAGCCAGGGAGACGGACATAGCTTTAAGCCGCTTACCATGGCTGTTAGTTGCCTGTAACTTACCTCTTAGGCTACTAATCTCTCTTTTAATAACTCCCTTTGGGAGTGATTTGACTTAAGAAGAGGTTGGTTTCATGAACGTCAAGTCAGTTTATCCATGCATTGCCTTTTCAGTATCCTTTTCCCCTTTAAATGTGCTAATATCATTCTACGAATATAAAGTTTTGAACTGACGTTTCCAGCCGTTATTTTGAGCACTAGGCGAGTTGTCAGAGCCAATTAGAGAATCGGAGTTGGTCTTGCGAACAGTTAGGGAAGTTAAGCAACTAACTCGACAACGGCTATAACAACTCTTTTCACGTTTGTCGTTGCCATTGTGGTTGTCCCTTATAAGCTGGTTTAGAAAAAGAACAAAGCAATTTGTCTAATTTCGGTCACGTCCTGTGACAGACCCCATGCCGACGCTCCCAGCATCTTGAAGTGCTCATGCAATGAACCTCGCATGAGATTAGGAGAGCCTCTAGCATCAGATATTATTCTGTCAGCAACTGATAAACATGGCAACAAAACAGGCAAGGTGAGGAATTTCCCTTCCGAACATCTTTTCTTTTACAAAACCAATCTGCAACAATTGTTTCAGTAATTCGTTTTATTTTTTAATCAACAAATTTATTTGATTGTTTCCTCGTTTTCTGTGTTGTTTTGTAGTTTTCAGGTACAGTTTTTCTCTTTCATTCGTCAGTTTTTTAGTGATTGACTCCAATTTACTTCCATGTATTTTATAGTTTCTAGACCACGTATTGCCGGAGTTTTATGTTTCCTAAGGTGGACTGAACAAATTGCATACCTTTTCTTTTATTTGAATTTGTCAAAAAAAAAAAACTGTAACATGTTTGCCAGGCTTGTTGGCCATCACCCTCGTATCATGTTTTGTGCTTGATTGTCTTCTCACTTGCTATTTTGTTATGCTTCCTGCTACACTATTCATGTACAATCTTTTCTTTTTCATTAGTCGATTTCAAACCATTTTTTCCCTTCTTTTGTTCTCTGGATTCTTTTAGCTTCCCAACCACGTCTTGCCAGAGTTTCATGTTTCATCAGACGGGCTGAAAGAACGAGAAGTCCAGCTGGGATTTACGGCTGTAAGTACCGGCCGATTTTTTCTGACAACCAATTCTTTTGGTCATTCATTCTTGCAAGGAGTCTCCTTACTGACTGCGTGCTCAAGCTGTCGTACACACTGGAAGTCACCTAAACTGGTGGAAATGCTAATTTCGAGTTAAAAGGGCTTTGTCACGAAATTTTTCAAAATGCAAACAGTTTTGTTTTACTTTAGTAGTTTCCAAATTCATGAATTCTCGTCTCCACTCAAGGGACAGGTTCACGGTTAAGCGCATGCTCATTAATTAAATTACTGTATTTTTAAATTTATTATTAATTCTATCGGTTAATAATCCCACTCACATGTAGTATCTTAGCAAACTCAGAGTGTATTTCAAAGTAGAAGTGTATTTCAGAGTAACCTGAAGTGGGATGGAGAAGTACTAAAATCGCAGAAAAAAATTAGTGGATTTTGCCAACTCTACCAACGTTGAATTTATTGTTGACCCGAAGGTTTTATTCTATGGTTGATGAATCTACAGCTATTTGCACATAAGTTGATCAAGTAACTACCAGGGGAGTGTGCAGATTGGTTCTTTGACAACATTATGACATGATCATATTGCGTGCATAGATGATTCAGCATGTCCCGACAGAAAACAGCATTTTGATAAATGAGCATGTGCCGAACCGTGAACCTGTCCCTTTAATGCCATTCTGCCCCAGTTCTTCAAAAAGAAGGATAGCTGGAAACCAATTGCTTTATCCAGTAGAAAGAGATTTTTCCTTTGGACAGGGTTATCCACCCTTTGAACATCTGGAGCCAGGCTTGTAGTGAGAAAATCACGATAACTTATCTCTATAGTTAGCAATTGCTGTATGAGACTGAGTAGGAGGTCAAGAATCGAGGAGGATGTTATCCACCGAGGTTGAAGGCCACGCATCTTCCAAATTTGGTCAACGTCAGTTTGTTATGAAGAATTAGCCGGGGGCCTTGAGCCAATCAGAAATGGTGAAATATTTTAAGTGAATGATAACTGCATTGAAACCCCTTTTGCAGGGTTTATTCTACAGAGCGGCCTTGCGGGATTTCCGCAATTTGGAAAAAAATGCCGCATAAAATATACGTTGCCGCGTCAAACGAGGCGCAAAAAAATAGACCCAAGGATAAGTACTATTTTTTGAAATAAAGTATTCAAAAACATTACTGACAACAACACTGAATTGACGGCCGCTCTTTAAACTTACTTCGAACTTTTATAGCCTTTTACTTTCTCAAGTGCCTTTATCTTCTTCGTTTGAGTCATTACTTCACCAGACAAACATCCGGGATTCTGCAGTAATTCGAGCCCAGACTTTTTCAGTTGCCCAGAATGTTCCAAAATGGCGGCAACGCGTCAATAAAGGTTCGTTTTCCCATGGAACAGTCTGCACCAATAACTTCAAATACCTTTTGGGGACCCCCCCGCCCCCCCTTCTTGAAAAAAAGCCCCCTAAAATTACAGAAGGGGGCCCATTTGACCCTCATTGGCCAATTTTTAGAATCAACCCTGCTTCTGGTAGCATGACTCTGCCAAGGAATTGCGTTTGACGTTTTAGTTGCTGTATTTGTATCCTTTGCTTACAGCCCTGCTGTGTTGTGTTTTGTAGGATGGTAATATCGTAATCAAGAACACTCAATTTGAGGATGGCCCACTTGGACACAGAGAAGTCAGCATTAAATGGAAGGATCTTATATGTTATCAAAGATTAGAGGTGAGTATTTTAGTATTTTTATCATAGATTGCGTGTTTCAATATCTCTTGTAATTTTAAGGTTAAACTTCACGAGTGCAGAATCTAATGCAAATGAGCGAGAACAATAAAATTTTCCTTCTAGTAAAAACCAAAAGTTTACGGAATGTAGGCGACAACGATCGAAGGTCAAAACGCTTTTGCTCCAACGATGTGCTTTGCGCAAGTTCGGCACGTGACAGATGGTCAAAACACGCGTGATCAGTTTATGAGTGATAGAAGGGCCAAACGTGCGTAATGTGCATTCCATTCATTCTAAGTGGAAGTCCAAACGAATGCAAGCTACATATACATGCGACGCATGCGTAATAACTACCTGTAGATTAGGATTGCGTGCTCCTCTCATCGCCCGCAATTAGCGTTGATTTCGGCACATGTCAGTGAAGTTCGACGTTTAGAACTGGCCTGAGAGAAATCATCACTTGCCCTAATTAGACAAAGGCATGGATAACTTGTCGAAGAGGTTAATAAACTAACAAAATGATGTAATGAACAAGAAAGTTAAATTCTCCCAACTATTTTTATAAGGACTTGTAAAGTACAGTATAGAGTATTTATATGTGGATGTACTTGACTACTCATCTCCCTCCAGTGTGGCGCGGGTTCATCTGAGGCGGACGGTCATGTTATGTTTGTTGATGCTTCTCTCCCCCGTGGCTGATTCTTTACCGTGTTGCTCCTTCTCTCTCTTGCTTCAAGAGAGCACGGTAGTTTTCCTCTCGCCTCAAAATCCAACAATTGCAAATGGCAATTCGCCAGATGTGTACAAACTAACGAAAGCCTGATATTTTTAAATTTACGCGTAAATTGTACAAACGTTTTAGATTTAGAGGAAGTGCATTCATGTAGTGGTTATTCGTCTACAAACTTGATCGTATTAGACGGCAAAACAGTCGGGGTTTTTTTTCTCAAAATCGGTTTAGCGTAGCTTAAGAATCTCACACGCCCGAAGAGCGCAAAACTCACACGGTCTCTCCCCAGTCTTGCTCTCCGTTTTCAGCCTTGCACCAGACCTTTTGTTTGACTGCTTGCGCGTACTTGAATACGCAAAAATACGGACTGTTTTGCAGTCTATGATCGTACGGAAATTTGGAAATGTTGGTTTCCGCAGAGAAGGGAGATCGGAGTACCTGGGGAAAAACCTTTTTGAACAAGGAAAGAACCAACATCAAACTCAACCACTTATGGTCTCGCTTCTGGGACCAGCAACATAAGTGTAAGGCGGGTGGTCTCTTTCTTGCCTTCCACTTGCAGCTTACTTGGAAAAAGACCCAGATTTTTTCAAGCGCCAACGAAGCAAACCTATTTGTGAGGGCAAATTGTCATGAGTCAATTTGAGTTTTTGACCAGACCTAAATTGTTGGTACATTAATGTTTGGTTTTCAGGTTATTGCAGGCCCACCAGCGAAGCTCAAGATTCTAAAGTTTGATCATTCTGAGGTAGGTATGAAAAACGCGTGTCTTGGACCCAGTGTTTCAGTGTTCCATCTTCAAATTTTGAACACTGAGTTCAATCTATCAATGAGTAAGTCCCAAACCCATTGAAAGAGCGTCCTATTGACGCTTGGAGCTTGGAGCCCCACCTGACATTGGATTAAGAGGCATAAGCACATTTCCACCATGACTTCTTTGACTCTTCAACAACACTTTCATGCACAACAGTGTTGTGTATAAAGTCTTTTTCTCTCCTCAGCGAGTTAGGGCGTTTTCCATTTGTCAGAACTGACCGGTCAGCACATTCCCGTCGTAATGGAAGTTTTACTTTTTATGAAAGCTATCCAGCCAGATCAGTCAAATCCTAATAGTATACTTGAAGGAAATCGTTTTTCATCAAAAACTCTTGGAAAAAGCCTATTTCATTTTCAAAATGACAGGTCCAGCCATGGTCTGGCCGGCCAGCTCTGACTTTTGGAAAGCACACTAAGTTAGAGTGCTTGTTGAGATTGCCTCGACCTCTGACTTGCTGTAGTACGAAACAACATTGCTTGGAAAGCTTCCTATGCGTTATCAAGCCTGCTCTTGTACAAACTAGAGTTCATGTTGTGATTTGTTTCTAATTGTTTTACAGCCTCTTTCGGTGTTTAACGATACCAAGATGCCATTTCCCCTTACTGTTCAACTGTGCGACAAGCTTGAAAACCCTTCAGATGAGCCTAATGTTAAGGTGGTCCTTAATACGGACAGAGGAATTAAGGTGAGAATCTCAGTTTTTGTTATTCAATTAAATTTTGACCAATCCTTTAATGGTTTGGTCTCCTTTTAATAAATGCAGATTCAGTTTCACAACGGCCACTTTTTTAGTCCCAGCGGATAATCCGTACATTGACTCTTGTCTAAACCTCTCTACACCGGCCACCTCTCAACAACGATAACGGCCACTAAAGCGTGTTCCCAAATAAGGCGACAGCAACGAGATAGGTTAGATTAGCAAAACAACAACTTTGCACGTGCATCACGCTTTTTTGTACAGTTCTTAGCCGTCGTTGCACGACCACAACGTGAAAGTGCCTAATTTCACGTTTTGTCGAGGACGGGAACACAAGACAACAACTTTCCTTTTCTTTTCCTGAACTTCGATACAATCCTTCAGAATTCGACTCCAAAAAAAATTGCTCACATTTGACGAATTGAAGTGACGTTTTCATAGCCTTCGCTGTCGTTCTTGCTTAAGGTCATTCCCCTGAATTGCATTGCGCACCTGTACTGCGCATAGGATTGCAACACTAGTCACGCAATCTTTCAAGATGGCTACCGTCGGCGTCGCGCCGGCACCAAGTCGAGAGATGAAAAAGGTTTTTTTCTAAGTTCAAAAGAAAAGGGAAGACGAGAGAAGTTAAAAAATATTTGGACAAGGAAGTGTTGTAATGTGAAAGGTGATGGAGGCGTTAGCACAAAAAAGAAATGCATCGAAGACGGCAGCTGCAACTTTCGAGGCAGACGAGTAATCGAGTTAGAGTTAGACGTGCTGGCCAGAGCCCTGGATAGTGGTTGCAGAGCGTGTGGAAAAGCACTTCAGCTATCAAACTGCCATGATGAGACTATCTCTGGGTTGGGTAGTTTTTTGTATATTATGTGCAGCGATCCGGAATGTGGAGAGGTAAATGCGTGAACCACAAACATCGCATCGTGCCGCCGGTGCTGGTCGCGGCCGACCAATTTTTCATAAAAACACCAAACTTGCTACAGGTAGGTATATTTATTTGATTAGCAGCTTTTATCCGAACATTTTTCCGAGCTTCATCATAATTTAACAATCATAATACCGTGTAATAACTAACTTTTAAATGTACATGTACTGTGTTTATGCGCAGGAATGTTACACGCCGGTATGTAAACGCACTGCTCACGTCGATAAACCTTCCAGCCGTGGGACAAAACACTCTGAAGGCCAGAGAAAGAGAAGTTGGCGCAGCGATTGAGACTGTTGCAAGGAATTCATGTTTAGAAGGGTTACAGTTGGAGAAAGATTGTCGGAGGACCGTGAACACAGAGCAAGTTGTAAAAATCGGGGTATCGTACGACATGAGTACGCAGAAGAGGGGAAAGGGCCACAATAGTTTGACAGGTTAGTCCTATAATATACATAAAGCTATGAAATAATGGAGGCATTTTTGCTTTGCTTGCATGGCATCCATATCAGTAACAAATGTCTGTTTATCCATTTTAAAATACAATATTTAACAAATTCACAACGATTTTTTCTTTTGCTATAATAACGATAATAACAAGATAATGAAATAGCAGCTCTAGAAGTTAAAATCAATTATTATTTTTACCCTAGACGACAAAATTTCCATCCAACAGCAGTCAGGCAATTTAACATTTGATTTCCTTTAACAATAATATTATTATTAAAACCGAATATTGGAAGCAGGGTGCTTGTTCAAATCATCCTCAAAGACAGTGAGTGAGCTAAATAAAATACTAGCATTATTAATCGACAACAATCAGTCATTCATTTAATTTATAGAGGTATTGACTTTTTGACTAAAGTAAATAAAACGAGACTATTTTTTTTCCTAGGAGAAGGGTCTATGATTGGGCTATCTTCAGGCAAGGTGGTGGGCTAGCTACAGCGCGAGGACGAAGAGATGTGCAGTATGTGAGGCAGCTAAGAGAAATGGCAAGGAACCGAGGTCACATGACTGTCGGATGAACTGGACAGCTTCCACCAAGATCCTCACAGAGAAATTTAGCGGAGGGCAAGAATCACAATTAACAAGAGAATTCTTGAGAGCATTTCCAGTTGCTTTGCAGACAAGTAAAATGTAAATCCCTAATATGGGAATGTAAACAAGAAAACGATAAGTTATGATATTTATCTGTGCTTTTGCTGAATTAATTATACAGAGTGTGATGAGAAACTTAGCTAAATTTACCTGTATAAACATGTATATTCTTAGTTGACACGGAAAAAAGGTATCCGGAAGTCACCCAAATTCGGCATGCAGTATCTCCTGGTCTCTTGTACGGGTCACCAAAATTCCGAAAATAAGCCCCGGGGCTTGTATTTTTCAAAGGCCCTTTTTGAGGGGCTTATTTTAGGAGGGGCCTATATTCGGAGGGGCTTATGTACGGAGGGAAATTTGCGTTTCAAAATCGATTGGGCTAGCTTGTGGTGGGAAGGAAATTTACCATTTTTGCTTTGTTTTGCTTTGTATTCGAGGGCAAATTCCAAGTACAAGCCCCCCGGGGGGCTTATATTCAGAGGGGCGATTTAACACAGAGTTTTTGCATTACGATTTTGGGGGGCTTATATTTGGAGGGGCTTATACATGGAGGGGCTTATTTTCGAAATTTTACGGTATTTCATTAAGAAAGCCATGCAAGTATTATGTAACAGGCAAAATTTCTCGGAAATTATAATTAAAGTGTCATATTAAAGTGTCAGATTCAGTATTGTTTGATCTTTTTATTGTACTAAAGTAACTTTAATTTGGTTGCCATGGCAACCATTTTTCATCATTTTGTCCTCAATCGGGAGCCCAGATAAAGCATCCCTTTAACCTGTCACTTACCAACCAAAAATTAGATCTATACGAATAAGTACAGTTAAATTTACGATGTTTTTTTCCTGGAAAGAGAAATGGGCCTGCCCACCTGGGAACAGAAAATGATGGCATAGCTTCCAAGCGAATACCGGCACCCCCCTCTTTTTTTCGCTTGTTTGACTTTACAACCAATAGGCTGCCTACACAAAAAGAATGGACAATTTTCTATGTTCAGAAAAAAAGATATAAAGGAAAGTATAAAGCCAAAACCCATTTTTTCATTTAAATTATGGTAACCATGGTAACAAACTTAACGGAAGTGCTTCCTCGACGTATGCGTTTTCGTACCAAAAGCCTTTTGAAAGTGTTACTCTTGTCCAACTCTAAATGTGTATAACCTTATTTCGCACAATCAATAGTATTCTGAGTGTTATCAGGCCTAATTATTGATATAGTCCATGGAGCAAGGCAGCAAACCGGAAGTTTCGAAAATTGCCTCAAAGGGGGTATGTTTGAGCCCTCGCAGCTCGTAAACGAATACCGGCACCCCCTTTTTTATTTTGATTTTCAAGTCCCAGTATGATGAATAGTTAATAGACAAAATTTGAGAAAAAATCTATATTAAGTTCTATTTCAGGGGAATGACCTTAAGCTCCCTATTAGCTCTCGACAACGGCCAGTTTTTTCAGCAACCGATCATGAAAAAGTCAAGAATGGTCATACAGTTTGATCCTTATGGCGCGTTAGTGATTAATCGCGGCAATCGTATTTTGATTGTGATCCATTTATACTGCTGCAGGGAGTATAAATTGTCTACGATACTTGTCGCGAATGTTGTGAGCCCAGCTTGTTCTGTCAGGTTAACATTTTAATTCAAAGCAATATTCAAGTTTTTTGTGTATTTTATCTCTATGTATTATATATGATTGGATTACCATTATGGAATACAATAAGAATGAACTTAGTAGCGCAATAAACATGTTGTACTCCCTACCACCCCATAACGGCCACTTTCTTCTGTCCCCAAGGTGGCCCTTGTGAAGAGGTTCGACTGTATTATGTAATCTGCGACCTTTTCTTGCACCTACGAAGATCTGGTCGAATGAACTGTTTTTACTACCGTATTTTTTTAGCGTTCTATCGATGGTACGTTGTGCACCTGACTATGCAAATTTATATAAATCTGTACAAAATGATGTTTTTCTTGGTAAGAATCTAATTGTGGGCACTTTTATTATTTTATTTTTTTCAGTTGACTCCAGCACCCGCTCAGCAGAAGACGGACAGCAAGGGCCAAGCAACGTTTGGTCACCTACTGTGAGCGCAACCAAGTAGGTGGAATATGAACATTTCAGTCTTCTTGTGCCCCTGTTCCTGCCTCTTACTTGATAGTTCTTACCCCAGTCCTTAACGAACGTTACTGAGTCAAACAAAAGCTTTCTTTAATTTGTATACCATCTGCTAATCCTGCTACTCGACAATTTGAATTCCCTCTTAATGGACGCCTCTATTAGTGGGACACCTAGAGTTGGTCCCTACCGTTCTTCAGTCATTTTCCTTCGACTCTCAATAAGATGGACACATCTCTAAAAGTTGGTCTCTTTCGTTCTTCATTCGTTTCCTTTGATTCTGTATAAGACGGACACCTTAAAACGGACACCTAGAGTTTACTCCTGCCATTCCTCATTCGGACACCGCATTCGGACTACCATTCTTCATATTATTTCTTTGACTCTCTATAAGACGGGCACGCCCCTAAACCGGATACCTAGAGTCTGTCTCCTCCCTTCTTCAGTCATTTTCTTTCAGTTTGACTCTTTAAGACGGACACCTCCCCTAAAAAGAAATCGAGAGTCGGTCACTACCATTCTTCATTTATCTTCCTTGACTCTCCATAAGACGAACACTTCCCTTAAACAGACTCTAAATGCCGGCATACACTAGGTGCCGATCAAAAAATATCCCTCAGTCGACTTTAAGAGCCCCAACCTTGGCATTTCTTAGGAACAACCTCTTCTTCGGTCATAACTTTTAAGTGTGTAAAATAACTTGGGGTAACGTGTGTTTGGAAATCAGGGGAATGTATGGAATAAGAATCAAAGCTCTTCTTGGAAGAACTGCATTGGATGCGCCTACGATAAGCGTGAGGTAAGTTCTGTGAAGTAGATCAACACACATTTCACAATAACTCAGTGATTGGTCGAGATATCTGATTTATGAGAGTTTAGACCTCTCAAATGGCTCCAAATGTGTAAAACTTTAGTGGAACTGCGAACTGCACTCCAGTGGTTTCACTGCAGCGTATTAAAGATTTTCACGTTATCTCTGTGGTCTGTAAGAGTATGGACAATGGAAAATTGTTGTTTATTCGCCGAAATATTCAATATTTTGTATCAACAGCGATGTTGAACGTCGCATTTAAAGCAAAAGGAAACGGCAGAGACCATGACCAATTTTCGCGCTATAAATGGACTATTGAATTCGCTTTTGCCGTTTTTGGAGATAGCTAGTACATCTCGGGTCCGGTCGAGGTCGCAAGCTCATTAGGGAGCTTAAGCAACGACGACGGCGACATCAACGAGAACGGCAAAAAACAATAAGGTTTAGATTTGCAAAACAACAACCTTGCCCGTGCATCACCTTTTTTTTTTGTACATTTCTTTGCCGTCGTTGCACGAGTACGACGTGAAACTTACTAATTTTACGTGAAGACAAGACACCGATTTTCCTTTTTTTTTTCGTGAACTCAGACGCAGTCCTTTAGAATTCAACTCCTTAAAAAAATAGCCATCATTTGACAAATTAAAAGAGTTGGGATAATAGCAATGAAGTTTGAAACAGCGCGAATTCACTTTTTGGGTGACGTTTTCTCCATCGTTGCCGTCGTCGTTGCTTAAGCTCCCTAGTTACCGAACAGCGACTGATAATCGAGTCTAGACTACGAGTAGTCCCCATTTTTCCTCAGGGATAGTAGAGCGAGCGAAACGCGAGCGCGCGTGAAAATCACCCCACGCGAGAGAGGCGAGACGGGGCTACTGACGGGTTAAGACTGCATTGCAGGTCAAATACTTTGTCTAGTGACTCTGCATTTTAACCATTTAATCCCCAAGAGTGACCAAGATCCATTTTGTCTTAATAATATCAACACATAATCAAGAGAAACGGTTATGAGAATTTATATAATGATCAACTAAGGGAAAATGCTTTGATTTTTTCTCCACTTTCAGCAGCATCTGACTGATATTAGCTATAGGGAATTCTCATCCAAAACGGAAAGTGATTTGCAAGGACTTGTTCGATTAGCACCCTCTGGGATTTCAGACCTACAGGGTGGCAATTCTCCCAACTAAGTCTTAAGGCAAATGTATGGAGATCAGTCTGGAGAATTTGTGGGTGGATATCGAGGTTTAATACAATTGGCTATGTCTTTCTAAGCATTGCGCTCAGCATTGTGTGACCAAATTCCAGGTGTTTGGAGATCTATAGGATTTTACTTTAACCTGAATCTGAGTTCTACCATACAAATTCAACTTTAAAGCAGTTTAGCCACGTAAGGACATTGATATATTGAACACATTTACCTGAAAATTTGATTGACTCATTCCTTGGGTGGGTGTTAGCATAAGAGGTACAGGTTGGGGGATGTTTTGTCCCCCAAACAAACCTACTGTCCTGCGTTTCAGCTGTTTCAGCCCATGTCGTTGGAGAGGACGAGGCTGTAATGAAAGCAGCAAGTGCTAAGGACATAGTGTTGAAGATATGGCACTCTAAGGACGGTCCAGTATCAGACAAGCCGCCAGCCAGGGTATGTTATACTAGCCTGTTTTCTTTCACATCACATAGTAACTGGGTTTCACAATACATACACTGTAAGTGTCAAGATTCTTAGGCACTAACTAGCCGAGAGCCATTGTCCGGGGCTGTCACCAAGATTTCAAGTTGACGTTATATGCAATCAGTAGGCGGGAAATTGAACTTCAAGGAAATCGTTATGTCCTAGTTTCCTTTTGTTTCGTATGGGAAGTGCCGGATCCAGACCTTGAGATAGGGGGGGGGGGGCGGTGGGGGTGGTCATCCAGACCCTTAGATAAGAGGGGGGGCGGTCTCCCAAAAAGTTCGGGCCTCAGTTTGGTCCAAAAATATGGGAAGGGTGGGGGTTGGGGGGTGGTCGGGCCCCCGGGTCCCTCCCCTGGATCCACCACTGGCCGGGGATAATGTTTATAGTATCCGGAGAAAATCCCCTGCACTTTCCTCTTAGCATATCCACATCAGAAGGGATTGGTTACGATTCAGAAGTGGTAAAATGACTGGCTGATAACCTAAACTATTATCGTACTGAGGTCACAACGGTGTAGCATAATGCCGCTATTAATTGAAACCACCAAGGCTTAACATTTTACTTATATTGTAATTTTGTTAAGGCCACAACGTTGTACCCATCAAAGCGGAAGTTAACGGATAAAGATGGAGAATTCTACTTCAGGTAATAATAATAATAAGAATACGAATAAATATGATAATATAATATGTATATTGCGCATATACAATGGAATGCGCATTACAAACGGTGAAATAAAAATAAGTCGATTAAAAGCTATCTTAAAAAAGTACGTTTTGAGGGCTGTCTTAAAAGATGTAAGGCTCTGAATGTTTCTTATCTACGCCGGAAGACTGTTTCACAGTTTGGGAGCTGCCGACTGAAAGGCTCGGTCGCCAAGTCAGTTGGTAGACACAGTGCGTTGGCCGGTACCAACAAAGTCGCATTCTTGGACCTAAGGGTGCTTTCCATTTGTCAGAACTGACCGGCCAGACCATTCCCGTCGTAATGACAATTTCACTTTTAATCAAAAATATCCAGCTAGATATAGTTTGCACGAAGGAGATGGTTTTTCAGCAAAAACTCTTGGAAAAAGCTTATTGCTTTGTCAAAATGACTGGTCCGGCCATGGTCCAGCCGGTCGGTTCTGACTTTTGGAATGCGCCCTAAGATTATTTATATCTTGACTGGGCAGCGACCGCAATAATATCAACTGAAGTATGGTTGATTGAGTAGTTTTCAAAGGAAGCAATGCAATTTTTTTTCGTGAATTCTCTTATAACCATATATTAATAAACTGCACTCACTAGGGACCTCAAAGTACCAGATATGTCAGGTGGCTATTGTATGGTAGTGCAGTTTGGATCTGCAGGAGCAGCCACACTCTCTAGTAAACCGGTGAGAGCATTGTTTGTTTTACGTGGAGTCTTCATTACTAGTTACTTCTTGCACATACCCTTATTCTATTAGTAATAACATTACTTTGAAGAGAACTTGAATTTTTATTTGTAAATTTCTATTTGTTGTCTGCAACGTAAGGAAGAGCTAACTTGAGCACAACACACCAAATACCAATCTGGCATCAGCTTACGACAGTCGTTTCCGATTAGTACAGTAGCTCTTCCAGACCTCTATTTTGATTGGCCCTAATAATCAGTAGGTTCTTTTGTTTTAGAGCTAGGGGTATTGTTTGTGTTGAATCATCTGTTGTTTCGTTCTACAATCACAAACCATGTCTGAAAAGATACTGACCTTCTTCCCTTCCATTGCACCTTAAACCTGTTCACTTACGAAGAAGCACTTCCGTTTAGCGGCATATTTTACAGAAGATTCATTTCATTTTTGTACAAGTTAATCAGTTTTATTACCTGTAAAAGAATATGTGGAGGAGAGTTGTGTTTAGAAATGCATACTACCCAGCGTTCGAAGAGTTCGTTGGCCTCGTCAGCTAAATACCTTCCCAATTCTTAATGGTAGTGAGAGCCCACTATGTTCGTTAACATAGAGTTTCACGTACTCCCTCTTGCAGATCACATTCACAGCAAAGGCTGGTCTCCCTGTGAAGCTTGAACCGGAGACGATGCCTGCGACTCCTACTGTTTCCAACCCTCAAAGGACCAACAGCCGAACCCTGGTGAAGACACTCAAGTTACAACTTAAGGTACTAATATTTACTGTTTTTGGTTGTGTTCTCTCCTCATTGTAATGCAAAAATGGTCCCACATCTTCTGTTACCAGTTACCAGTTCTTTGCGACGTCGTGCGTATAATTGTAGGCCAGCGTTGGTGAGCATTAACTCTGTAGAGAAACTGGTTTGTGTAAACTTTGGGAAAAGAGTTGCAGAGTTGGTTGCCTGCAAAGATTTCGTCCGTAGTTTACTAGTCATGATTTCAGCAGCACTGCTACTTTGAAGATGAGTAGCAAATCGCTGAAAATGAGCAAAAGAAAAGAAAAAAATGAACAACAAAAAGATGAGTCCATTGACGGCGTCAGTGAAGCGTATCACGAAGGCGATGACGATTATGTCACCAAGAAGGATGTTTATAAAGTGATGAAAGTGCAAGAGTCGATGTCTTGTAATTTGTTTGAATCCATGTTAACCAGTGTTAACAACAGAAGTGATGGTGTGATCAAAGACCTGACAGAATTGAAATCAAGTATTCGTATCACCACAATCGTCTGTCTAGTAGCTTTCGCAACCTCTTTTTAAGTAATAGTCAGGTTCACCATTGTGAAACTCAACTAGCCTTTCAGCATAGACCTCATTTCTGTAGAACTAATATCAAGCAGTTCAGTATCCTTTATCGAGGACCAACAATCTGGAATTCGTTGCCAATTTCACTAACCAGCTCTTCTTCCATATTTCCATATAAGTTTTTTGTTGGTTTGTTTGTTTGTTTATGTTTTGGATTTAACATAACGAACGTAGAGAATTTTTCTCTTTTCTGATCTGAAACCAACTAATGTTGCAGCTCTCGTTAGTTGCTGATCTCTCAACAACGTTAAAAAACCCTCAGCATGCATAATTAAAGGTCCATTTCAATATTCAAGATTGCTTGATACACATTTGTTGAAGAACAGCTCAAACATTTGTTGATCAGCAAAGTGGCCTTAGGCAGCCTTCAGACAAGATTGCTCACTCTGCTGTTTGTTTTAGGACAAATTTGATAACCTGACTGGTGAGAATCTGAAAGGAAAGGTGGTTGTCAAGGTAACAACACCATCAGAAGGCATTGACGAGATCCCTGCTCTGACTGGAAATGTGTACTCCTTGGAGGTACCCCTGGTCAAGGGAGTGGCCACTGTACAGAACCTCCTTATTCAAGAGAACACTGCAGGCAAAGACGGACAGGAATACCTGCTGAACTTTCACACTCAGATTCCTCCTAATTCTTCCCCTCATCCTATTCCCGTGTTTACATTGGCATTCTTGTTTTACAATGGCAAGTACCCTTCGGTTTCATGTAGTGCTGACTTTCTTCTTCATGATTAAGGGCCTGTTTACATTGAGGCGGGGGACCCCGGGTAGGTGAGGTAACCTGCTTAGGTGGGGTAATCCGCCTGTCCATATAATCTCTCATTTTAATTTGATCACGTTTACATGATAAGTGGGGTGACCCGCCGCATGTTACCTCACCTATCTGGGATCTCCCACCTCCATGTAAACAGGCCTTAACTTAAAGGATATCCGATAATGTGCTTGTTCGTTGTGTGACTTTTTTTGTTTTAAAATAGCAAATACACTGCGGTTTTCTGTGGTGCTAATTTTCCCATCCCTTATAAATATTAACATAAAATAACAAGTGCCCGTTCTTTCTGCGCAGGCTTGTCACTAAGATTTCAAGTTACCGGGTAAATGCAACAAGTAGGCGGGAAATCAAACAGCTAGGGATTTCGTTTGGTTCTATTTTTCTTCTCTTTTCCAATGAAAGTAGCTGGGGCCACATTCATAGCAGCTGGGGAAATCCCCGGCCCCTGGCTCTTAGTGGCAGCCCAGCTGCGACCTGGTTTTGTTTACAGTGGCAGGTACACTTCGGTTTCCTGTAAAAAAAAAAAAATTAAATTCCTATTTCCCTCTTCTTGATTAACTTTAAAAAAAACTTTTTTTGTTTGTTCAACCTTTTGTTTTAGAATGGCAAGTACACTTCGGTTCTTATAAAGAAGTGTCTAATTTCCACTCATTGATTAACGTATCTGCTTATTCGTCGTTTGACCTCTCTAAATCACTTCCTTTTACTTGCTTTCCACCTTGTTAGGTATTTTGTTAACTAACACAACATATTTCATAAACAGTACTATACTTTTTTGCTTTTAGATGTGAGGAAACAGCAACAGATGGCTCAGCTGACAAAAGAAAGAGATCACTTATTTGAGACGATACGCACCTACCGGCTTCTTTTTGAAACTACGCGACAACTCATTAACGAGATGCAAGGTTGGTGGCTTATTTTTGGTTCTTTGCAGTCGACCACATTAACATTCGCCCACAGAGGGAGTGAGACGCAATAATTTTGTCTTATCCTTAAAGTCTCGAGAGTAACTAACATCAATTTTCTCCTAACAATATCCATGCACAATCAAAAGAAAAGGTTATGAGAAATAATAAAATGATCATCAAAATGAAAATGCTTTGATTTTTATCAAATTCTCTCAACTAATTCTGTAAGGAAATATATGGAGATCTGTAGAGAGAATTCTTATGTGGATATTGGGACTTAAAAGATTACTCATTAAGTCAATGTTCCTCCATAAAAAGATTCAAAAGCTGACGCATTAAGTGCTAGCCCTTCATCAGAGCGAATTGAAACTTGATAACACCAGCTTTTTTTAAAGATTTGAACAACCAATTTTATAATTGAACCATAACCTTTATTTTTGTACTTTACAGTGTCAGTGCATGAAGCTTCTTTACAAGAACAGAAGCTGAGAGGAGAACTCAGAAAACAAAACATCCCTGCAAGCAGCTTAGCATCGGTAAGAGGGTAATCCTGGTACAGGATCGAGCCACCCTAAGGGAGTAGTTAGAGTACCAAGCTCAAGTCCAGAGGTCGCTGTTTTCGGTTTAACCAGAGGTCCCCTCTTTTCCACAGAGGCCTAGCGGAGAGTAGAATACAGGGGAGAAAACGTACGTGGTGTATGCTGGGAAGGGGAAGAGAGGAAGCGAGGTTTCCGCCATTTTTCTTTCCTTCGTTCACACGACAGCACTTTCGAGTTATAAAAGAAGTTATGTTCTTGTCGTCGGAGCTTCTGTTAGGGAAATATGAGGTGCATATGTAGCCACACGGCACTGGCTGGTTTTGATTAAAGTTGGATCTGAGTTCAACTCCTTGGCCATGCCTGTTGGTGCCTCTGAAGCTTTTACGTTTACTTTCGTTTTCTTATTTAGACGAAGTGCTAGAAAGTTGTGGATGATGCCTCATTTTGTTACCGTGCATACGTCACACGTTTTGCATATTACCGGAAGGTCTCATTTTGTAAAAATCAATTCGCACCATAGATTAGTATTGTTAAATATCCGTTTCATTTGAATGGTCACATCATAGCTCTGGGAGTGAAAGAGTTAATCACTAGAGAGCTTTAGATTTGAGGAGGAGAACGAGTATGAGTATGAGATTTAACATAAAGTTTCAGAATCTAAGCCCTCTACTGCTTGTTTGTTCTTAGCCATCAGCTGTGACTACATTGATAGATGAAATGTCAAAAAGAGATCAGATCGCTATTACTCCTCGCCGACAGTGTCTACTTCACCCTGGACCCCGTGGAGACTCTGGTATTCTGGGAAAGGTTTGTTCAGTTTACTTTTCGATGAGTTCACACTATGCTTTAGTCTGACAATTTTTTTTTCCTTTTTCTAAAGCCATAGCAAAGAGTAATTTATAATAACCGTTATGCATGTTTACGTCAGACGAGTATATTTCACCACCCAGCCTCGTTTTGAAGTTGAAAAGTTGCCAAGTTGTGCATAAATGAATTCCCAGGGCAGAAAAGTTGAAAAGAATATTCACGCCCAAAGGGTGCAAATGCAAACAGTTTTGTTTACAAACGAGGTTTGCTGAAATTTGCTCGACTGACGTAATTATGCAACTTCAAATCTTAGTGACAGCCCTGACCTCGGTAATGAAGACACTTGGCTCTACCTCGTCGGTATACTTTTGTTGCGTGTTAGCGCTAACGCTGTTCTCTGTTCCCCCTGTAGGTAGCTCATTTAGCTCAAGTGGTAGATGACGACGTTGCGCGAGTACTGTCGTGGCACATGGCATCCGATATGGACTGTGTCGTTACTCTCACGACAGAAAAGGTTCGTCCTTAGACTTTCAAAAAAGTCCTTTTTCCGATTTAATATGGCGCGGGACGAAGGTCGACCTTTCGCGACTTCGTCGTACGCTTGGTCGCTTGCTAAGACACTCGTGCTGTCGACTTCTAGCAAGTCTAGTTCGTTCCCTAAACCTCGTGTTTTGCCTGCTGTGCTTTTCGCTCATCATAAATTCTCTCCCCTTTTGGGTAGCTAGTATGTACGTAAGTTATGCTGTTCCGCTCTATCCTATTCTACTGGACCTGTCGTTTTGTGCTCTGTAGGGTGTATTTTTTATTGCTGACAAGCGTTTGCGAGGTAGCAATACTATTGTTTGTGTAGCGAAAAAATTCAATTTTGTAGTATTCTTTGTGTAGCGGCAAATTCAATTTGTGTCGAATGTAAGATCACCCGCAAACACACTTGGTCATGACTATCTTAGAGGTCTTCTTATATGACGTAGTATATCCGCACAGCGCTCGATTGAATGTTCAAGTTCCTGACAAACGGACAATCTTGACTGTTTAAACTGTCGAATTAATAAAATCAATCGAGTTAAAGGCTTCCGTGTTACCTCAGGAATGAACCGTAACTTAAGTATTTGCCTTACTGGTCGAAAGCACACTGATTTCATGAGCGAATGTTTTACATCAACGGGCAAAGTCAACGACTAATATTTTGGCACAAAACTGTAAATTCCTCTGCTGCTTATTTCCTGGTAATAATTATTACTGTCTCACTTCCATGACCTCCACACAAGTCCTTTTGTAGCTCTCTAAAATAACCAGTAACATTTAACTAGTTTTTTGTCACTTTTTGAATAACACGGGTGACTGTTTATTTTCAGGCAAAACAAGTGTATCGCGACTCTAATGGCCAGCAACAAGTGCTACCCTTGGATTCTATCTTCAGACGTAGTTTACCAGAATGGAATAGGTACAGACCAAATTAACCCAGTTATTATAGACGCTGTGTCTCTCAGGAGTTTTCAAACCCAAACCTGCTTAACAATTTTACACCATAAATCCCCCATTAAGACCCCCCCCCCCCTCTCAAATGAGCCCCCTCTCACTAATAGGCCTCTCCTTTTCAGAGAAAGAAAGTTAATAAGCCCCCTTCTCTTTAAGCCTCCATTCCCTCCCCTCCGCTTATTATTCTTCATTATTTTAATGATAGACTGTATTAATCAGTCACGACAGTAAAACATGGTGTGGACTGATCCAGGACGGTTTATTTACCAACTAGAAGTTCGGAATCGTTATTGATTTTCGGCTGCATGACTCCAACGTCTTATACTGGAACTTTTCCTCTTTGTATTCTAGTTCTTTATGGTGAACTGATACCATCGTTTCTTCTAAATTAGATAACCCCCCTCTCTCTAACCCCTCCCCCACCTCAAATGGGCTTGAAATAAATAAGCCCCCCAAGGGGCTTTAATTGAGGGTTTACGGTAAGTTGGTTTTTTTAACCCAAAGAAAATTCAGGGAGTGCTCAAGTAGTGCCGATCAAGTTTATAAAATTTCCTGCCCGGGTTTATGAGTTACTCTACTACATTAAAACGTACTATACTATTATCTGCAGGTTTAACCTGGCTTACACTCTCATTCATTCGCGTTGTCAGTTGTGATGTCATATAATGGTGATCTATCTTTTGAATCTGTAGGCGAATTCATATAGAACCCTCTATTTCGGTAGGACCCTATGCGTGATTTTTCTTTCCTGAATTTGTGAAAATTAGACTATTAACCCCCAGTGCATTAGAAAAAGTTAGCAATGCTTGCAGACATGTCAGCAGGGGCCTGTGAATATGCTAGTGAGCACGCCTAAGAATTTTCCAGTGGCTTCAGAGTTTTAAGCCTGTAGCGTAGCTTAGCAATGAGTAGCCATTAATATTGACTGTTAATTTTAGAGCTCTTCCACATATACGAGGTCAGGGCAGTTACAATCCGTCTGGTAACCCTGTGTACGCAAGAGATATGTTGATGTTTCCAACAGAGGCGGAAAATTGCAAGCTAGGTAATACGAATGTGTATGCAAGAGTACTTATTGTAGGGCCTGTGCGACAATAGACCATTAGATAATCATTAGCCTGCTCTATGTTCTCTAGTTTAAAAACAACTGTTGGGCCAACGCTCGAGAGGCGCCGGCGGAATCTCATGCGCGAGTGGCAAGCAGATTGGCTCATTCGATAAGTTCTTGAATGGAGAACTTCTCTAAGGCCAAGGTAATTTGCTTGAAAGAAAGCAGTGCTGAGGGACGTTGAATAGAAATGAATTTTCTGTTTAGGAAGGTGAACGTTTCGCTTACCCGTTGTCAAAGAGATACCCATTGGTGGAGCTCCGTGATTAGTTGCAACAAGCTAGCGTAAACGGCAAGAATCAGTTACATGCTCCCCCCTCCCCCAAATTAGCCGGACGACAGTTTCTCCAAACAGGCAGCTAAACATTGGCTAGTATAGGGTACAAATACGTTAATCCCAGGAAACAGTCCCCCTTAATGCACAACATCCACTTCCCGTTTGTTGACATTTCCAGTGATTCCACGCTCAGAGGTAGAAATAACTTTGTCAAGATACATTGTTATGGGTTTAGGAACTACCACTCTTATGCTCCGTGAACATCTACCAATGCTTGTTGGGTATCAGAGGTCTTTTTATTTTCCTCGCGTGCGGCGGGGTGCTTCGATGTCGGTAACAGACCGAAGCCGCGAGTCACTTTCACCAGAAATTACACTAGAAACGTCTTTGCTGTCCGGGGTATACAAAGTTCTTCGTGACTGTCAAAAATTTTCCTCAAACTCAATAACAAATAAATGTATCGAGAAAACAGACAAATTCTATACCATGAATTGCGACACCTAAATCAAACACTCGAAAGAGTTTTTCATTTGGAATCCAAATAACCTTGACGTCACTATGCCTCATTTTTCAACTCACTTCTCGTTTTCTGCCCTAGGGGGTACTCCCTATAATGGCCTATACGGAGAGACTCCGCCCGAAAGGGGTACCTTTTTCAGACTTCAGGTATATGGAAGGGTTGGGATTTTACCAGTTGAATTATATGAAAGTGGTGGGAAATCTGTCCTTTGGGCCTGTGAAAGGGCTCAAAGGGCTGAGCAGATGAATTTCAGTGTTATGGCTTTATAAAGTCGGGAAAACGTTCTATTTTTGTGATTGATTCCTACTTAAAGGACAATGCATTTGCAGCAGTTAAAAAGGGGTACCTTTTTCGTGAAAAATAGTATATAAAAGGGTAAGGGGTTGGACCTCGGGGCGTAGCCTCCCCGTGTAAAAATTTGTTGAGTACGCCCCCGGAATTTTCTGCATGTTTTTTGAAACTTTCCTCGGGTTTGATTCATTGCTTGTCTCATTGCAGTGTTCGGTATGTTACTGGGTGATACACTGATCCTAGATGACCTGGACTGTGCAAATAAATACAGGCAACAGGTGAGTACACTTGTTGATGATGCATTTCAAGGTGATGTTACATCGGACGATTCGCAGCAACGATTTTTAGCGCTAGACAGCGTTGCAACATTGTTGTGACATTGATTCAAATGGTTGCAACGTTGTTCCAACATTGCCGGCAATGCTGTGCCACGGCTGGCTATTTCATGTTGTTAATATTGCCAATTAAGCTTCCTTGTGCGCAATGAAACTAAACGTAAGGGGAAAAATTTTCTTGTAAACGACAAAATCACAGCTTCTCGTCAAATAAATGTCTCTCAAGCATTATATGAAACGTTAAATACGAGCAAAATGAACTTTGGAAACTGTAAGGCTAACAAGTTTTCAAAACTCGGCAATTGCAATCCGTTTTAGTCTTCCTCAGCTGAGTTTGTCCGCCCCTGCCTCTTTTTGTATTTGCTGTGCTATTAATGCTTTGTTTAAATGTTTTGAGCGGTTACGGTATTTTTATGTTTCACTCAATTTGGTGGCGGTTTCTACTGTTAGAATTTTGTTACGTAATTCTTGACTCAGCTCCTTTAACATGAATGTACTAGTGAAGACATGACATTTTTAAATTTGCGGGATTGTTATGCCCTATTCAAAACGGGACCGTCGTTTTACGTACTTATCCTAGCCACAGGGCGTATGGCCTTAAGCTGCACAATGGCTCGGTCATTTTAAGGCCCCGAGAATTAGGCTTGGAGAGAATTGAATCCACACCAGGCTCCAGTTTTTCAAAATGTGGATACTGTCCAGTGGATAACTCGATTGGTTTCCCTTATACCTATTCGCTAGACAGAGATTTATCCCGTAGATAGCGCTGTCCAACGTTTGAGCGACGATGGGGCGGGTTTTTCGAGCCTTTAAGCTAATTGCAAAATTACAGACATAGCTGTGGCTTTGAGATAAAGCCACTAACAGACGACTGCAATGCAATAAAGAAAACTATTGATTTACGCCTGACTATAGTGAACTTAACCAAGGACGTTTTAGAGCGACACGCACCAACCAGAAGTGGCTGTTTTGCATCATTGGTCAGCAGTTTTTTCCCAAATTAAATTTCTGGCAATTCGTCTCAGTAAGAGTAAAGATACCGTATTTATTCGATTAACCTGCCCTGGGCGCTTATTAAATTTTCACCATTTTCAGCAAGTCAAGTATGTTTATTTTGCAACAAACAATAAATGGTAATAACAAAACGCGAAGATGTAACAAAGTAAGGTCTCTGTAAAATGCTCTGAAGAAAACTTCGTCTTCGGGGAAGTCTCTTATTAGTACTTATTCAATTTCAATTTCAATCTCATTGTCACTCAAGTCAATAAGTGAATTCTCTGGTGCTGCCTCCTCGATGTCCGACATCGGGGAGTGGAGTGGGGGTGAGCGCTTATTCGAGGTGGGCGCTAATTTGAGGTTGGGCGCTTATTCGAATAAATACGGACTTAACAAGGCACTTTTGTTAGCGTCAAGGTAATGAGAAAAGGCTTCACTTCCGGTTGACGTGTTACGTCCAGAAATGTCTTTGCTTAAACTCCCTTGTGTATTGTTATGATGTAGGTTGTAAAGCACACTCATTGTCCTACGATTCTTACAAGAGGAGGAGATCGCATCAGAAGTAACGGTAAGTTATTTAGCCCATTAACCTTTAAGTGACTAGTGTTTAAGATTTCTCCTTATTCTTACACTGTTCAGTCAAACATAAATATCGATAACATGCTGAGCTGGCAGGTCGCGCAATATCACGTGATCATGGAATGACGCAATGGTGAGGTAGAATTTCTCCTTATTCTTACACTGTTCAGTCAAACATAAATACCGTGAGAAAAAGCACATGATTAGCAAGTGAAAAAGGTCTTGATTACGCAGGATATGCGTGGAGAACGTTGTGGAGAATGTTTGTATTAATTTTAGGGTTTAAAGGGTCGCACCAATCCCCGTGATACTGTTTCTTCTAGTGAGAATTTTAATCTCCATAGTTTTGCTCTCTTGCAAAGGTAAATTCGGCGGACTGCAGAACAAAGCTCCTCCTCTTGAGAGAATGCGCGGCGCAGTGTTCGCTGCGCCTCTTCCGCTGACATTCCATTCACTGACAACGCAGATCGGTGAGTGACAAATAAAGCTCTTCTCATTTTTCACCGCCAATGTATAACTCCAACATTGCTGCTAATGTTTTTCTTTATTCATTATGTTGTCAGAACAACTACAAGCTTTTAAACAAGCCGTTATCAAACACACACAAGCCAAGGAAGAACTTTCGGTAAGCTTAAAGAAGCGCATCGCATTGGTTTTTTTTTCCTTTCGTACACAAATCCACCCTGCTGTCAGTGTTCTTTTCTTAGCAGCGGATGAGAAGGACAAGTTCAGCCTGAATCGCGTCGAGTCTTGTTTTAACCCTTTAAGTCCCAAAAGTGACCAACGTCATTTTTCTCCTAACAATATCCGTATATTGTCATAAGATGAGGTTATGAGAATTAATAAAATGATCGCCAAAGAAAAATGCCATGATCATTTATTGAATTCTCTCAACTTATTCTTAAAGGAAATGTATGGAGATCACTTTGGAGAATTTGTATGTGTATATTAATTGGGGCTTAGAGGGTTAAGGCCGCTTTCCTTCTTATCGTATAGGTGAGCGCGACCCCATAACTTAAAGATTTGAATCCGCTTTCACTACTTTTCTGTTCAGCTCGCCAGTTTATTTTCAAAACAAATCGTTGGTAACGGTTAGCTGATTTACGAATTTGATCTTGGAGCATTTGAAGGGAACACTTTCTCTATCTCCTTTCTCTAACAGCTGCAGCTACAGCACGGACAAACGGAGGAGATGAAAATTAAACACCGAGAATGCAGAGAGGCTGAAACCCAGTTACGCATGATTGAGGAGCGTTTGGGCATGACTCCGACCCAGTACAATATGCCTCCCAGTCCGGCCACTATGCTGCTGACAGAAATCAACACTCCACCTACAAGAACAGCTACCTCGCGTCGCTCCAGCGCACGAGCTGCGGCTGCGGCTACCGCTTCTCCGACCTTATCGACTCCGGTCGTGAATGGTTCGAGCAACGCATCGGGAAACACAACTTCTCCGCGAACCAGGCGAGGTGCTGCGATCTCCCCTGAAGATGTAAGAACCAGTAAACGAACGCGCCGATGAACAGAATGCAATTTAAAATAGTTATGCTGTAGGTTGACACTACTTTAAACATGCCGCAGTGGATTTACAGTCAAAACCTTAAAGAACTTGTAAACATGATTTTGTGGTACCGATTATTTCTTAAACGAGGAAAGCCCGCCATGGAAGATGCTTCGCTATATTGTGCCATGCTTTAAAACTTGGTCTTCGTGGTCATTTAATTTTACGGCTTTCCTTGTAAACGATCTACTGACTGAAAAACTGTACCTCTGAAGACTGAGGAGATTCCACTTCTTTACAGATTATAACAATTTTTCACTTTGCTACTGTATCTATTTTTCACACCCTCCTTCTAGAAGTTTATCATTATACGTGCTTTTAAAATTTACTTTGAGAACTTAGCGTAAAATTGATATTGTGCTCTGATTCTCTTTCATGCCGGATTATCTCCCGAAACTAAACCAAAAGTGGAGCCGACGTTTTTCAAGTTTACTCCATCTTCTTCAGTCTTGACTATACACGTCTTATCTGAAGTTGAAGACGATACTTGATGTCTTTTTTTTTTTTTTTAATCTCTTGGTTGTAGCTACAAATTGCCTCACATTGCGCTTTTATATCAGAGACCTTAAGATCGAAGTTTTTCGGCATTTCCCGCTAACCGCGAACGTCAAGAATTCACGTGACCAGTGCCCTGCCGTCAGAATTTGGGTTTGAGGTTCACATTTGTACAGCATGAGCACGCTCTAGAGGTAAGTGATTTACTGCAAGGACTTTTGCACCCCAAGACATCCCAATCCCGCGTTTGAGAGGAAATACTACTTTTTGGAACTCTTTCGCTTATTAATCATCCAATTCGTTTTCATAGGAACGTATTTTTGAAGACAATTTCTGAGCAAAAATATTTTGCCGTTTGCAGTAAGATGGCCAAACCTCGATCTTAAGGTCTCTATTCTTCATTTCAATTTGACTGAAATTCAGTTCAGTAGTCTTACTTAACCTTACTACATCCTACACGCCACTAATTTATCTTCCTGTTAAAAGGAATTACGGTATTAAAAGGTACTTTTTACCTCAAAGTACAGTACGAGATTAGTGGCAAATGAATGTTGAGAAATTGTCCGTTTTGTGTTAAAGCGTGGAACTCGTTCGGTGCGGTGTTGAATAACAATTGCCGTTTTCAAACTGGAGACGGATTATCCGTGTAGATGTGAAAACGAGACGATAAACGTATTCACACTAGAGACGGATTATCCGTTTGAGACGAATTATCCGTTGGATAATTCGCGTCAGATAGCCAGTAATACGTCGTAATTTGAAAATGGAACGGTCTTAATTTTGCATGAACAATCCGCCTGACTTTATCCATCTGTTTTTCCGTCAATTTTGACGGATTTTGAAGATGGATTATCCGTCTCAGACGAATAATCCATCTCAAGTGTAAAAAAGGCCGTTGTTCAATTTGGACGGATAATTCGTCTGACTTTATCCGCCTTTTTAGACGGATTATTCGTCTCGAATTCACACTAGACGGAAAAAGTCATCCCATTTTTTCTGCCCACTCTCGTCCCCAGTGTCTTCTCGCTTTTCAAAAGGCACTGGGACGAGGTTGTTTTTTTCCTGAAAAGCCTGGCACTAGAAAGGGTGCGTTGCATCATAGGATTCGTGGAACAAAAAGTTTAAAGCACTCACCCCCCGCGAGGTACTCTGGGAATTCTTGGTGGGGGTGTGCCGCCCCGTTCTCCAAATCCTAACCCTATATCAGACCTAAAACTGTGATTTTTTTTTCAGATCTGACCTCTAAAATGCATACCTGTTTTCAGACCTGGCCTCAAGAAATCTTACTAAAAAAACGATTTCTTAAAATCCATTTCTTGCAATTCTTTCTTACTCATTTGGAATTAAAACCATAAATACGTTCAGTACCGTAAAATTCCGAAAATAAGCCCTTCCATATATAAGCCCCCCAAACTCGTAACGCAAAAACCCCTCCGTTAAATCGCCTCTCCAAATATAAGCCACCCGGGGCTTGTACTTGGAAAATTGCCCTCAAATACAGAGTAAAACACAGGAAAAAAAGGTAAATTTACTTCCAACTATAAGGCTAACCCAATCGATTTCGCGAAACGCAAATTTCCCTCCGTAGATAAGCCCCTCCAAAAATAAGCCCCCAAAAAAGGGTCTTTGTAAAATATAAGCCTCCGGGCTTATTTTCGGAATTTTACGGTATGATTAGGCGTATGTGTGACCTTAGGATTGTGCCCTGTTCACGTTGTGAGCTTCGACCGTGCTCGTGATATTATAGTGCGCCCTCACTCGACTGTTTATTAACCAAACACGAATGGCAAGTAACAACAGGATATTGTGTTCTCTTCAATTTTTTCTGACGTGGAATTTAAAAAGGACAAGTAACAGGTATGTAGAGAAATGTACGTAATCACCTTTCATTTTTCGGTGAAGTTAAAAATTTTGCTCTACTGTCAGCGTTTTAGAACTGAAGCATGTGTTCCTTCTTCATCTTTATCATTCTTCTGACATTTATTTGGTTTCAGTTGTTTGAATCTACTATTTAATGGTAAAGCTTCCTTATTTATTGCAGCAGTTCTTAGTGACTAGGTCTAATCATAGCAAACAACCTCTAATTTCTCAGAGTATCACTGCTTATCATGGAAAGGTCATGAGATAATTTAGAGAGTATATTCGATCATCCCTAAACAAAACCGTCATCGTTTTGTTAAGAGCCACATGCAATATCGACAACCGGGTGGAAATATACATTATCAGGGAAAGAAACGTAAAGAATATCACCTTTCAAAGTAGATTTGTTTTTAACGTTTTTCTCCAGCTGCTAATAAGTAACTGGTTAAAGCTAATTTCTTGGGGATTTTAGCTACTGTAGGGGTAGAACATATATAGAGGTGCCCGTTTGATTTATCCCTCCCTCTCCGCTACTATCTACCAAACAATGAACTTGGACATCAGCAACTGGTTTTTTTTTTTTTTTATCGCACAGAAAATAAGTGCTCTAGACAAAATGCTCCAAGTGACGGACGCATTTGATGATGGTATGGCATATAAGATTTGTTAACGGTATCAAGAGGCAACAATTCAGCCTCACTACCATCTGTCCATGATTGCTTTCCCTCCCCCTCCCCGGATCACTAAATGGGTACATGATTTTTATCACTAGCTTAAAATGAGAAGTCGATGCAATCGATTTGTTGTCCTTTACCCATTCTCGTCCCCAGAGCATCCTCGGAGACCCAGGGGCAGATAGTGGGGCGAGGAAAGTCTAAACGGGCGGAAAAAATAAGGCACGAAGAAAAGTAAAGAACGGCGAGAAGAGCCCCTGGGACAATGTCTTACCAGACCAGTTCCAAACGGTCGCCGCCGTTCTGGCTTCTGATTGGTGCCAGAAAATTTGTGTTTTTCCGAAAAGGCGTCTGCTCTCGCAGGCTTATGGCGAACGGGCCCTTTTCGAATTATCAAAGTCCTTTTCTGAGGGGAATTAAAACGAAATAAATGGACTATTCATCTCCGAATCTCAATTTCCATTTCCAAGCAACCTCGTTCCCGTGGTTCTCCTATTCGTCCTCCGAAGCAAGATCAGCTAGAGAGACGGGGAACGAGTAGTGGAGAACCCTGAAACGAAGTTGGGAGCCAACTCGTAAATTCAAAACAGGTCTATTGAAAGTATCCTTTGCTATTAGACTGCGTGACTGTTCATATCGGTCTTGTGACACTCAGTTGTCGTGCATTTCTTCAACGAGTTCTTTTCTCCTTTTAATTATTTCAATCATCAGATCCTTTTGGTAGTACCGTAAAATTTCGAAAACAAGCCTCGGGGCTTATATTTTTTCAAAGGCCCTTTTGAGGGGCTTATTTTTGGAGGAGCTTATATTCGAGGGGCTTAAATACGAAGGGGAGTTCTCGTTTCAAAATCGGCTAGGCTTATACTTGGAGGGAAATTTGCGTCTCAAAATCGGTTGGGCTAACTTATGGTAGGAAGGAAAATTTATGTCAGTAATTTGCAGAAAGGTTCTACTGAAACTCGCCTTTGAGGACATAGACCTTTGTAAAAACGCAGCCATGGAAGCACTTTGTCTACATGGACCAAGGAAATCCAAGCCAAGAGTGAAGAGTGAACTACGCAAACAGCAATTTCTGACTACAATCATTTGGCACACAACAATAACAACAACAACAACAACAACACTTTATTTCACCCCATAATATACAAGAAATAAAAATGTATAACAATAGTACAGAGTTCTTAGGCAAATACAAACATTTATGTGTTACTGTACAGTTATTGCCTTGTTTTATTTTGAATTTGAGGGCAATTTCCGAGTACAAGCCCCCGGGGCCTTATATTTGGAGGGTCGATTTAACTGAGGGATTTTTCCGTTACGAGTTTAGGGGACCAGTTTATCGTTTATCTCGCGATATTCTTTACTTAGTTATTCATTTACGACGTTTTATATTTGGAGGGGCCTATACATGGAGGGGCTTATTTTCGAAATTTTACGGTATTTAATTTGTGCAACCAGTTAAGAATATTACAAACATTTACAGAGAAGGATACAAACAATCTGAACAATTCGTCAAGAATAAAATAATAATACTAATAATATTTAATACTTATATTGCGCTTTTTCTATAAAAATACTCAAAAGGGTATTACAATATTATTAATAACTAAATTAAAAACCAGTACAATTACCCGGTAAAATTACAATATTAAAAAAAATAAATAATAAATAAATAAATAAAAATAAAAAAAAAAATAAAAAATAAATAAATAAATAAAACAAATAATCTAACTAAAAGCCTTATGTTTTAACAGAGCGTTTAAAAGAGTCGATTGATGTTTCCTGTCTTATTGGCAGAGGAAGACTGTTCCATAAAAAAAAAACGGTGAAAGTAGTGAAAATTTGGCCTAGATCGTGCACAGAAAAGGCCTCTTTTAGGATGAGAAAAAAAAAATCCGTCTACTTGGAGGATAGGGCACAACTAGCATATCC